AAAATGGCCACTGTTGCAGCAGTGACTGAATCCAAATCACATGGCTACAAACAAAGCCCAGGGGGGCTTTACCGTAATGGCTTTACCATGGTGGTAAAGAGGGTCACTGAGCAGTCGACTGCTCGAACCCACATCCGAGGCCAGCAACCAAGAAAGCCCCACCAAAAAGAGGAGCAGTGATGGTGAAACCCAAGTCCACCACCAATTGGGGGGGGGGAACCAAATGGTTCTCTGCCTTCCAGCGAGGAGGAGGATGCCCCAGTGAAAACCCAGAAGCCAGTTGAAGAGCATGGTGGCAACAGCAACAATGATCCACTGATGTGTGGTTACTCGAAACCAATGGTGGTGAGGATGAACTTGAAAGCAGTCTCCTCAGGGCAGAAAGAAGAATTAGGAGATTGTGGGTATATCCATTGCCTTATAAGCCCATCCCTAGCCTTGGAATGCAATTCCGTAAGCTAAAAGCACCAGTAGCATTCCAACAATTAGATGGCTCACGTGGTGGTGGTGGTGGTGGGGACGACAAGGCTTTAATTCTGAGCTTCACATGACTAGAGAAATGGAATCCAGCAATACACTGAGATTCCGTCAACCACAACCCATCCAGAAAGTGGCTGTGGAAGTAGAATTTTGCAAGTACAGGTAGTTTTCAAGGTACAAACCTAATGGAGCCTGCTCATTACACTTTGTAGCAGGCCCAAAGATCCCCTCTGCATGAACCCTGGCCAAACTGTCCAATACATTTATCGTCTACATGGGGCTCCCAAGAGTATCATAACCGATCATGGAGTGCAGTTCACTTCTCATTTTTGGCAGGAGTTTTTGAAGTCATTAGGCACCACCCAAGGTCTAAATTCCTTGTACCATCCTCAGATTAATGGTGCCGGTGAACTTACCAACAGTTGGAATAATACCTTTGATGTTTTATCAATTACCAGCAAGACAATTGGACAGAGCTATTCCCATTTGCAGAAGTAGCTTATAACAATGTAGTACATAGCAGCACTGGCTTTGCAACTAGCAGAGGCTTTGTAGCCATGTTGGAACTACCACAAGAGGCACCTGTGCCTTTCCCTAACAGGATGGATAAATCAATCGCAAACTACTTGGCCATTGTTCTGTCAGGTATTGGACAAGGCTAGGGAAACTTATGAAAAATATGCTGATAAAAATGGCCCCAAAAAGGAGTTTCATGAAGCTTATTTCTCTACAAATATCTGCAATCTAGGCAACCATTGAAAAAGCTTGGCTCTAAATCTGTGGATCCTTTCCCCATCGTAAGGATTACAAATCCAATAACTGTTGAACTTAAATTACCAAAGAACCTTAGAAGGATTCATCCCGTCTCCCATTGTAGTCTGCTTAAATCGGACAAAACCTCCCCCGCCCCCGCCTGCCTGCAGAGACCCCTTTCCTTCTGAGTCTTTCAGGTTATTTAAGATATTTCAGGAAGCTCTAATTGGTTTGTGTGCCACGGTGATGCCGCATGGTTCTAATGGTCTGTTGGTGGTTTCAGAGATGTTTTTGATGTTGGAGTGCCATATATCTCCCATAGGGAACATTCTCAGTGCTGCCACGATTGGTTCATTTTGGATTTGGTTCAGTTTTTTGGCAATGAGCACCGGGAGTCCTCTCAATGAATGAAAACACACAAGAGAAAAATTTTAAAGCATAATCTGCCCTCGGATTAGAGTTTATTGATTAGTGACACCACATGGAAAAGAAAGTCTGATGCACAGGCTTCTTCTGTGGGTCAGCAGGCTGATGTTGTAGTAGCCAGGGAGATTCTGGCTTCCAACCTTCAAGGTGCTTCCAGCTACATTCAGTACATAGCCATCTTGCACAGATAGGGCTGTTTGACACAACAAAACTGGAGACTCCAATATTTATAGTCTAGAAGAAATCAAATAATTGATTGGACTTTTGTTGCAATTTTATTGTAACAATCTTAGAATTTGTACCTAAGAAAACAGTATTTTGTCACAAAGGATTAACTTTTTTGGATAGGAACATTTAAACATACTTTTGCCATTATAGTTTACAGGTAGTCCTCAACTTACAACCATTCATTTAGTGACCATTCAAAGTTACAACAGCACTGAAAAAAATGGTTTATGACTGGTTTTGACTGTTGCAGTACTCTTATGATCAAGTTAACAAAATTTGGACATGTGACTACTGGCATATATTTATGACTCTTGCAGTGTCCTGAGGTCATGTGATCCTTTTCGTAACCTTCTGACAAGAAAAGGAAATGGGGAAGCCAGATTTGCTTAACAACCTGAGACAGCTGATGCATCTCACGGGATGGCACTGCTTGGTTTCTATTCCTCTGAGTTCCCTCCCTGCGTTCCTGCCCCCCAGTTACTGATGACAGGCTGTCAGCTTGCAACATGCAGCTTAGCAAAAGGGCAGCCATGACACGAGTGTTGTTGAGATCTTCAGAGAAAGGAGTGAGGAAGGACAATAGGTGGCATTACACCAAGGGCAAAATGAATATGTCCCATTCTGATGATCTTGGAATTGAGATCATCAATGAGCTTCGTTGAGCTTAACTGGGTTCAGCTTCTTTCAAGGCCTCAATACAGGTTTTATGAGTTTCCCTTCTCACACCTAAAAAACAACGCCATCACTTCAGTCGTGATGCTGTTGGGAATATTGAATTCTCCAGGGTCAGGACTTGGAAGAGGGGGTAAAGCAAAAGTAAGCTAGATGATAAAAGTAGGAAAAACATCTCTCTGCATCCCATTGTGGCTGGGTGAGCTTTTTTTGCTCAGTCAATTAAGGTCTTAACTGGATTTGTGCAATAAACTGACCCTCTGGCTAAGTAAAGTTTGCACATCTTCGTAAGCCATGGAAAAAAATTAATCCAGGTCTAAGCTAACAAAACTAACCCGTGTCGACCCGGGTCAGTTGGAATGCCAGCAGCTACAATTTGAAGAATATGCAAAACTCAGTTAGGTATTTTATTAGATTTTGTGCATGTCTACAGGGCTGTGGATTAACATGCTGTCCAAACCCACTTTGGCAGTAAGCGTTTGTTTCACGTTTTGGCCAATTCAGAATTCTGTTGGAATTCCAAAAAGCCACCAAGTTTTTCAGGAAGTCTTCAGTAATTGATTTGATAGGTGAATGTCTATGGAGATTCTCAATCATCCCGATCACGGTTGTCCCAAAGTTGTGCTTTTTCCAAATGCAACTGGAATTCCATGATGAACTAAAGAAGCTTCTTCAATGAGAAGGGAAACATTATCAAACAGAAGACCAAGAAAGAGCAGTTGCCTTTTGGGGGGGGGGGACACCTTTGGGACTATTTGATAAGTGGTTCCCCCTAGCAGCATGGAAGATAGTGATCTTCCTATGTATGATGGAGATGATGGCAAAGGTGTTTGCTTTGGCTACCACCTAACATGATTGCCTTCTACTGCAGGGGTGGAGAATGATAGCCGTGCCTCAGGAATTCTGAGAGTTGAAATCCACAACTCATAAAGGAGACACTATTCCCCACCTCTACTCAACTGGATGGTTGCATACACTCTTTAGAGTCATTAGTGATAGAAATGATCCCTAAGTTTACATAAATTACTAAATAGGATTCATTCAGAAACGAAGCCCACGCAGTCTCTGACTTCATGCATATTGGCTGTGGAGGATTGGAAGGTTGTGCTTTTTCACACATCTGGAGAACATAGGCTTGAGAAGTCTGATTTACAAGAACAGAATACCTTCTTACCACTGCCATGTATCTGGACACAATCCCCTTTGTAGGTGGAAGGTTCAGAGGGTGCCCAAGGAACGTACTCCACCACGGCTGCGTCTAACCATCTGAATCGTGTCTGTAGAGAGAGAAAGCAACATCTCCCCAAGTGTTTTTCTGAATTTTGCAGAAATGAGGATATTTCTTCTCAAAGGTACTTCTCAACACCCAAAGGGTCAAATGTAAGAGGAATCAAGTTGTCCTAGGGGACAACAGGTTAAGTATATGCCAGCAGTGCGCTTCAGCTACCAAAAAGGAGCCTGATTTAGCTGAACAGACAGAAGCACTGTAATTTAACACCAGCTGTCTGCAATTAAAGTAAGATCGAATCCCGCCAGGCTCAAGGTTGACTCAGCCTTCCATCCTTTCTAAGGTAGGTAAATTGAGGACCCAGTTTGTGGGGGCAATAAGCTGACTTTGTATAAATATACAAAAGTATGAAGGCTATTGCTTAACGCACTGTAAGCCGCCCTGAGTCTCCGGAGAAAGGCGGCATAAAAATCAAATTAAAAAACAAAAAATTTAAAAAAAGGTGATAGACCAAGATAGGCTCAAGATCAGAAAAGGTGATAGCATTGCTTAACACTGCACTAGTGAGGCCACACTTAGAATACTTAGAATCCAGTTCTGGCCACCATGATACAAAAAAAATGTTGAGACTCTGAAAAGAGTGCAGAGAAGAGCTAGAAAGATTAGAGGGTGAGAGGCTGAAACATGATGACCGCTTGCAGGAACTGAGTATGTCTATCTAACGAAGAGAAGAATTAGGGGTGATGTGATAGCAGTCTTCTAATATTTGAGGGGCTGCCACAGAGCAGAGGTGACTATTCTTCAAAGCACCTGTAGGTAGGGCAAGAAGTAATGGGTGGAAGATCATCAAAAAGTGATCCACCCTAGTGTGAAATTTTCTGACAGAACAATGAATCAGTAGAACAGCTTGCCTCCAGAAGTTGTGTGTACTCCATCGCTGGAGGCTTTCAAAAATAGACTGAACAACCAATTGACTGGGCTTCTACTGGGCTTCAACCAATTGATAGGGCTTCTACTTTGAGCAGGAGGTTGTACTAGAAGACCTGAGATCCCTTCTATCCCTAGGGTTCTATATTCTACATTCTGTTCTAAAACATGAGAGAATAAATTCAGGCTCAGGTGATTACATGCATACAGAGTTTCAGGGAAACTGAAAAATATAAGTCCAGTCCAGCACAATACCACTGAAAAAGAAACAAGAAATCCAGCATGGTTACACAAATATCTCTCCAATAAACTGAAAGACAAAAAAGGACAAGTACAAAAAATGTAAGGAGGGACACACAACTAAGGCAGAATATCAGCAGATAGCCCGAATCTGCAAAGATAAATCCAAGAAACAAAGACTCAAAATGAACAAAGACTTGCAACAAAAGTCAAAGATAATGAAAAAAGTTTCTTTCAACATGTACATAACGGTCGGTTCACCAAAGAGAAGAAGGCAATGAAGTAACAGGCAGTAGAGAGAAAGCAGAGTAACTTAACTCATTCCTTGCATCAGTCCACACGAAAAGAAACTATAGCCCAACCTACCAAAAACGTAACCATAAAAGGCAGACTAGAAATAAAAATTAAAAAAAACAAAATGGTAAGAGAACACCTGTCTGATCTTCATGAATATAAATCACTGGGACCTGATGGATTATATCCCAGAGATCTGAAGCTGCTGGCTTATGGTTTTCTCAGAACCATTGTACCAAATCTTTCAAAAATTCTGGAGCACTGGGAAACTACCAGTGGATTGAAAAAGAGCTGATGTGGTTCTCATCTTTGACAAAGGGAAAAAAACAGATCCAAGAAATTACAGATCAATCAGCCTAGCATCAATACCTGGGAAGACACTGGAAAAAATAATAAGAAAACAGATCTCCAAACATTAAGAAACAAATAAAGTTACAACTAGAGGGGTTGTACAGCAACCATGTACAGCATGGGTTTGTTAAAAACCGGTCATGCCAAATCAATCTTATTTTATTCTTTGACTAAATTAGCAGAGTAGCAAAATGCTCTGAACATAGTATACTTAGACTTCAGTAAGGCATTTGACAAAGTAGACCACAACCTACTTCTTGGTAAGCTAGAAAAATGTGGGATAGACAGCATCATCACCATATGGATTTGTATCTGGCTGACAAACGTTACTCAATGAGTAGTCCTTAATGGTACCATATCCACATGGAGGGAAGAAAGCAGTGGTTCCATTTTACGCTCAGTACTTTTCAGTATTTTCATAAATGATTTAGATGAGGGAATAGGAAAACTCATCAATTTTGCAGATGACACTAAGGTGGCAGGAATAACCAACACCCCAGAAGGCAAGCTTAAGATCCAAAAAGATCTTGATAGACTTGAACAATGGGCCTATCCAACAAAATGAATTTTAATGTGGAGAAAAGTAAGGATTTACACCTAGGCAAAAATCCCCCCAAAGGTACAAGTACAAATTAGGCAAAACCCGGCTCAAAAACAGTAATTGTGACAGGGACCATCCTTTAGTCAGACCACACCTGGAATCCAACATTCAGTTTGGGTCACCACATTACAAAAAAAATGCTGAGACTTTGGAAAAGTCTCCAAAGTGCAAAGAAGAGCAGCTAAGATGATTAAAGGCCTGGAAATAAAAATATATGAAGCTTTCAGGAATTGGGCATGATCAGCCTAGAGAAAAGAAGGAATAGGGATGACATGATACCAGTATTTGAGGGGCTGTCACAAAGAAGATTGGGCCAACCTATTCTGCAAAGCACCTGAAGGCAAGACAAGAAGCACCAGATGGAAACTAATCAAAGAAAGAAGCAACCTGGAATTAAGGAGAAACTTCCTAACAGTGAGACAAATAAGTAGTGGAATGGATTGCCTACAAAGTTGTGGGTGCTCCATTACTGGAGGTTTTTAAGGAGAGACTGGACAATCATTTGACTAAAATGGTATAGAGTCTCCTTCTTGAACAGGGATTTCGACTAGAAGACCTCCAAGGTCCCAAGGGTGTTATTCTTTTATACTAGCCATTGGTTTTTGGAGCTTGGTAGGTAATAAAGAAAGTTAGCAGCCAACCCATCTAGCAGTAACCAAAAGGACACTATTGCTCAGATCTGAATAAACGTGTCTGTTCTGCCCCAGCTACAGACCCCTGAGCAATAGTGTCCTTTTGGTACTCTCACAAGGCTGGCTAGGAACCACGTAGAATAAGTAAGGAAACACAAGCTGATTGCTCTTTTGGAGCAGTGTCATTTAGAGAGAATTGGGTTCTGTCCCTTTGTCCATTCCGAGCTCAATCTAGACAGCGTGTGTAACATAGCCAAGATCAACTTCTTACGATCCCAAAGTTGCACTGAGATCCAAAACTGAATGTGTTGAAGGCTCTCCAAGGAACCCCCCATATACTAGGATTGCTATCATGCTCTTGTCAAGTTCTGGGGAATTGTGCCGTGATGTAAATCCAGTGACAGATTGGCTTATTCTTGTCACCTCCTCTCCCCCCCACCCCCAGAGCTTTTCATTGTCTTCAGAGATACCACTCACTCCCTTCCCTCCCTGTGACCAATACAACTTATACACACCTTCCCGTTTGGGATTTTGTACAATCCAATCCAGATTTTAAATAACTTTTCGTAACCGGTGAGTAGAGCAGAAGAGATAGTATCCATTTCCCGTTTGCTAAGGATGGAGGCAAGGTGGGCATGTTTGCCATGTGAACTGCATTCTGTCTGGGAGACACCAAGCAGACACAGGTTAGGGCTTCCTGCTTTAGATGCTGACCCTGTCCTTTAGAGCAGGGGTCTTCAAACCTGGCCACTTTAAGACTTGTGGATATATATCAGTTATGCTGGCAAAGATAATCCATACCAGAACTGAGGACTTCAAGGTTGCCCCAATTAGCACATTCCTTCTTTGTTTCTATTTTGAAAACCTGCTCCCATTCCTCCAAGAATTTGTTTCCCTCACAGTAGAAGCTTTGTCTGGCAACATCCTTTCTTTGCTGTGCCCCTATGATGTTACTTTCATTGCTCCTCAGTCCTACCATTAGACAACCCTAAGCTATGCTTTTCTATACTGAGGTCTAACTATGTAAGGGGTCCTTGGTGCTCTCTGAGCTTGGCGCCGATGATATTATCTAGTTTGAGCGATGAAACATCTGCAGGAAATAGCCAAGCTCAGAGTGTCCGCCCCGAAACGGCCAGCCGTGAGTGAGCTGTCCTGGGGTTGCCACTCGGGGAGGGGAGGATTCACCATCACCATGTGAGCCATCAGCTGAGAGGCGGAACGGCTGAGCACTGAGTGAACGCCAGACCACTGCTTCGTTGGGCTAGGCACTGCTGGGAATGGCCCTGGACCTACAGTCAGATAGGAAACAGATAGCCAGCAATCAGCTGGGAAGCGGAGACCGGCCGAAACAGCTGAGCGTCGATATCCAAAAGCCATGGGGCGGGGCGGGCACGCACGCAAACCTGCTGGGCTAAATGTGAGCAGACACCAGGGGGTGGGGATGCCAGGGGGTGGTATAAACATACATACTTAAGGGGCAAGGGTTAAATTACAGTTAGCACTGACTTTATTTTGCTATCTTGCTTGTTGGTCACTTTGTGCTAGGTTTCATATTTTCAAGAATAAATGCTTCAAACTGAACTGTGTTGTCTCAGGTTTCTAGATGCTGAACTACGGAATGTGACAGTAAGTCAGCTCTCTCTCTCTCTCTCTCCCCCCCCCCCCTCTCTCTCTCTCTGGCTGGGGAGTTTCAGGGGATGGCTGAGAGAACAGTGACTGGGGCGGATGCTGCAGTGGTGAAGGAACCATCCACCCTGGAAGCCTCTTCATCACAAGACGGGGCCACTCACTCGGATGTTCACACGCTGGACCTGGTTTTTGTCTCTGGACAGTGGTTGAGTGATCTTGAGAAAGGGTATATAGTCACCAAGCCCTTGCCATGGTCGGATCACTCTCTCCTTTGCCTTGACCTTCGAACCGCTACACCCCGCTGCAGGGAGGCGGAGCCGGTAAGATGGTTCCGCCCCAGGCACCTGATGGAACCTGATAGGTTCCAGATGGAGCTTGGGCCATTCCCTGAGGCTCTGGCACACGCCTCGACTAGTGACCTAGTGGCTGCCTGGGATAGGGTGGCTGCTGGAACTCTGGATCAGGTCGTGCCTTCGTGGCCTCTGACCTGGCGCCGATCTCACCTGGCTCCTTGGTTTACCGAGGAGCTGAGGGAGATGAAGCGCCAGAAAAGACACCTAGAGAGTAGTTGGAGGGCCAGTCTTTCTGAATCCGACCGGACACTGGTAAGATCTCATATTAAGAATTACCTAGTGGCAATAAAAGCAGCAAAACATACATATTTTGCTGCTCTTATTGCGTCATCAGATAATTGCCTGGCTGCCCTGTTTAGGGTGACCCGCTTCCTGCTCCACCAGGAAGTGTGGGAGGACCCCTTGGAGGTTAGAGCCGAGGATTTTGTTCAGTATCTGTATGACAAAATCACTCAGATTCGGGAAGGCCTGGACTCTGACTGGGTAGTGTCAGGGGGGATGACTGAGGCAGGACTTGAGAATGTTATCTGGGATGAGTTTGATCCTGTGACCCCTGACGACGTGGACAGGATTCTGAGTGGACTGAACGCGACCACATGTTTATTGGTCCCGTGTCCCTCCTGCTAAGTGCTGGCTTCCCGGGAGGTGACGCGAGGCTGGCTCCAGGGGATTATAAATGCTTCATTGGGTGAGGGTGACTTCCCCGCCACCTTGAAAGAGGCGGTGGTGAGGCCTCTCCTCAAGAAGCCTTCCCTGGACCCGGCAGTGATGGCTAATTATCGTCCGGTCTCCAACCTTCGCTTTGTGGCGAAGGTTGTTGAGAGTGTGGTTGCGCGACAATTCCCCCAGCACCTGGATGAAACGACATTTCTGGATCCGTTCCAGTCGGGCTTCAGGCCTGGGTACAGCATGGAAACGGCATTGGTCGTGTTGGTTGATGATCTCTGGAGGGCTCGGGACAGGGGTTGCTCCTCTGTCCTGGTCCTATTAGACCTCTCAGCGGCTTTTGATACCATCGACCATGGTATCATGTTGCACCGGTTGGAAGAGTTAGGGTGGGGGGCATGTTCTCTGTAGAGGTTGGGCACCGTATTGCGGTGGTTCTCCTCCTTCCTCTCCGACCATACACAGTTTGTGTTGGCAGGGGGATAGAGGTCTACCTCGAGGCGCTTTGTTTGTGGGGTGCCGCAAGGGTCAGTCCTCTTGCCCCTTCTGTTCAACATTTATGTGAAGCAGCTGGGTGAGATCATCCGTGGTTTTGGGGTGAAGTTCCACCAGTACACTGACGACACCCAGCTGTACATCTCTACCCTGGACCACCCCAATGATGCCCTTGACGTGATGTCCCGGTACCTGGAGACCATGTGGATCTGGATGGGGAGAAACAAGCTCAGACTCAACCCTTCCAAGACCGAGTGGCTGTGGTTCTCGGCATCCCAGTATAATCAGGTGGCTCCATCGCTGACTATTGGGGGCGAGATCTTGGCCCCCTCATTGAGGGTTCGCAACTTGGGTGTTCTCCTGGATGCAAGGCTGTCTTTGGAAGATCATATGATGGCCATGGCCAGGAAAGCTTTTTATCTGGTTCGCCTGATATGCCAGTTGCGTCCCTTTCTGGACCGGGATGCCTTGCGCACGGTCACTCATGCCCTCGTCACCTCCCATCTGGACTATTGTAACGCTCTCTACATGGGGCTACCCTTGAAGAGCACTCGGAGGCTCCAACTGGTCCAGAATGCGGCCATGCAGGTGATTATGGGGGCGACACATCACACCCATGTAACACCTCTCCTGCACGAGCTGCACTGGCTCCCGGTGGTCTTCCGGGTGCGATTCAAAGTGTTGGTTACCACCTTTAAAGCGCTCCATGGCTTAGGACCTGGGTATATACAAGATTGCCTTCTGCCACCAATAGCCTCCCGCCGGCCAATACGCTCCCACAGAGGAGACTCCTCAGGGTTCCGTCGGCCAAACTATGTCGACTGGTGACACCCAGGGGGAGACCCTTCTCTGTGGGGGCACCTGCCCTCTGGAATGAGCTGCCCCTAGAGGTGCGTATGATCCCTGACCTGCGTACCTTCCGCTGCGCCCTTAAGACTCTTTTGTTCCACAGGCCGGGCTGGCTTAATATGAATTTTAAATCGGGTGTTTGTTAGCTTTTAACTTTGTGGGCCAAATTTTATACAATCGTTTTAAATTGTTTTTAAATTTTGTGAGTTTATATGTGTTTTAATATGGCTGTACACCGCCCTGAGTCCCTTGGGGAGAAGGGCGGTATAGAAGTAAGTAAGTAACTAAGTAAGTAAGTAAATATATAAATATATATTTATATATAAATATATAAAGAAGAACTTAGCCAGAGGATTTATTCAGCCAGCCAGGTCTTGAATTGTGGCACCCCTACTGCTTAGAGAAAAGGACCAGGGGGCGGGGGATGTTTGCAATTGTGCATAGACTTCCGTGAGATTAATGGGGTGTCCATTGAGAACATGTACCCCCTCCCTCCTATGAAAGACATGCTAGCTTGTTTGGCCGAGGGATGTATCTTTACCAAGCTGGATCACAGGAAGGCATATTATTGGATACAGATCAGGGATGTGTGGAAGACCGCATTTAATTGCCCATTGGGTAGTTATCAGTTCAGAGTAATGCCCTTCTGACTGCAAGGGGCTCCAGCAGTTTTCATGCAATTGATAAATGAGGATTTCTTTCACCTCATAATGATGTTTCCCCCCCCCACCTCAACAGGGGGGAGGAGGAGGGGTTCCCTATAACATGGATTTTCTGAGTGGACGTAACAGGCTACTGTGGAACTCCAGATGTGTCCTCCCCAATAAAGGCGGGAGCTGTAGCTTAACAGCGACAGGTGTATGATTTTTACTATTGGAAACAGTCTGATGTATTTGGGTGCGAGTTTTTTTGTAGGGCACTTTCAGATTCAGGTACTTGGTGGACAGGTTTACTTTTTGGCCAACATGAAAGGAGGTTTGTGGTCATCTCTTTTTGTCGGCTTGGGATTTGTATTTTCCCCTCGCTTTCCACATGGCCTCCCTGACTTTCCCCACACGTTACATACATGATACCCATTCCTGTAGCCCTACACCCTCTGGCTTTTGTTGGGAGCACTCAGGTATAGATATGAATTCAGTCCCGGAAAGGGGTGAATCTGGTACTACTATGGATGGCATTGTTATACACCACTTCGGCGAAGGGGAGCAAGTCTGCCCAGTCTGTTTGCTGGGATTTAACATAGCACCGGATGTATTGCTCCACCATTGCATTGGTCCTTTCAGCTGCTCCATTGGTAGCCGGGTGGAACGCTGAGCTCAGAACCTGTGATGACCCTATTATGGCCAGGAATTTATGCCAAAACTTGGCAGTAAATTGAACCCCCTGGTCAGACCCAATGCTTTGTGGTACCCCGTATAATCAATAAATATGTGCGATGAAAAGCTTAGCCAATTTCCTGGCTGAAGGCAACCCTGAACAAGCCACAAAATGGGCCTGTTTTGAGGAAAGGTCGATGACCATCCAGATCACCGTGTTTCCCTGACTGGCCGGTAAGCCCACAATGAAGTCCATGGCTATCTCCTCTCACAGCCTAAGAGGAGACACCACGGGTTTTAGGAGTCCGGCAGGTTTGCCTGGCTGTTTCTTCATTGTGGCACAGGTCATGCAACTGCGCACATATTCTTTGATGTCCTTCTTGAGTCTGGGCCACCAGAACTGATGGTTGGTCAAATGTAATGTTTTGAGAAAACCAAAGTGGCCGGCCACTCAGACATCATGACACTGTTGCATCACCTCCATCTGTAGACTTTTGGGTACATAGACCTTGGTTCCTTTCCAGGCCAACCCAGCCCTGCAACTGAGGATTTTTTGATTGGCCTGGAACCACTCATCCGTCACAAGGGCTTTCTGAATGTCTTTAGTTATCTCGGTTGTATGAGGTTTTGACTGAGCGGTGACCCCCACCTGTTGTATTCGACTACCCTCAGGCAGTGAAGCTGGAATTATGGCCTGCACTACCTCCTCATGGTCGCTGGCATATTATGGCATACAGGATAAGGCATCAGCCAGGAAATTTCTTCCACCAGGGATATATTTCAGCCGAAAGTTAAAAGCATCTGAAATATAATGCCCATCTGACCTGCTTAGGTGAGAGTTTACATGGGGTTTGGAGAGCCTCCAGATTTTTATGATCCGTTCTGACCTCGAATGGTAAGCTACCCCCCTCCAAAAGATGTCTCCATCTCAGCAACGGCCACCGTACCACAAAGGCCTCCTTCTCCCATACAGCCCATTTGCATTCAGTCTCATTCAACTTGCGGGAGGTATATGCACATGGTTGCAGATATCCCTCCTCATTTGCTTGCAAGAGAACCGCCGCCACTGCTACATCACTGGCATCTGCCTGCACCATGAATGGCTTACTGGAATCGGCTCTCTTGCAAACAACGCTTTCAGGTTGCTGACAAGCCAATGTCCACTGTACCGGGTAACCTGGGTGCAGCTTTTGGATTAATTGTTTGGTTCTCAAAACATCTGTTAATAGAAGAGCCACACTAGCAAGGACGGGATGAACTGTCGGTAAAAGTTCACAAACCCCAAAAAACTTTGCAGTTGTTTTCGTGTCCTTGGGGCTTGCCAGTCCAAAACTGCCTTTACTTTCGCGGGGTCCATCTCTACATCCGTTGGAGAAATGTGGAATTCCAAATAGTCTAACTACGACTTATGGAAGTGTTAGCCGCTAAACTTTACATCAAATTGTCGAAATGTGGAACTCACATTTCGACAATTTGATGTAGAGTTTAGCGGCTAACAGTTTGTTTAGGACCTGGCATACTAAGATGACATGTTTTTCCATGGTTTTGGTGTAAATCAAAATGTTATTCAGGTAAATAAGCACACCGTTGTATAAATGGTCCTGTAAAACTTCATTGATAAGTTGTATGAATACAGCAGATGCTTCTTGTAGGCTGAATGGCATCACCCTGAATTGATAACTTCCCAGCAGGCAGTTGAATGCCGTCTTCTACTCATCGCCATGCCTGATTCGGACCCTGTTATATGCCTCTTGGAGATCCAACTTTTTAAAGACCCTACCCTCTCAAGCAGACCAGCATCTCCTTCATGAATGGAAGGAAATATATATGCTCCACACATGCTGTGTTGATCCCCGTAAAATCAATGTACAGATGCAGCCCTCCATCCTTCTTTTCCCTGAAAAGAACCAGAGCCGCTACCCTACACCTAGCCAGCCCTTGTTCCTCCCCAACCTCCTCACTGTCCGACTTTGTTGCCAGCTCCACAGGCCACCAGTGGACCACAACATTCTTTTTTATCACCTCCATTAGTTCCTGGGGGGTCATTGAATACATTTTTGATTTTGGTAGGGCTGCCCCTGGTAGGATTTCGATAACACAATCAGTAGCATGGTGGGGCAGTCAGTTGTCACCTCGCTTATGTCATCATACATCTCAGGGAGCCTGACCAGCTTCATGGGGTACTTAACTGCTGGTTGGGTGCTCCCTACCGCCTCAGGGTGTTGCTCATGTGGGGGCGAGTCAGGTCCTACCCCTATTCTCAGATGTCTACAACCCCCTCCCCACGAGATTGTCAGACCCCACTTATCGAGCAGGCTAGACCCAGCACAATTTTTTCCGTGATCCTGGGAACAACTACACAATGGATACATTCCTGGTGTGGCCCTATTTCCAAGGTTAGCAGTTCTGTGACGTGGGTCACTGGTTGGCCTCCTAACAAAGGCCCATCAGACTGATCAGCTGAACATACTCCTAGGCATTGCCAGGTCAATAAGTGAATTCTCTGGCCCTGAGCTACGGCGCGGCAGGACTGATACGCAGTCCCCAAGCCCTATTCCCTATTCATCAACGCAGTGACAGTGGAGGTGAAACTCCCTCGGTGTTCCATAGTAGCTTGCTGCGGCCTGTGAGGACCTCCAGTATATGGGGGGCCTCAGGGCAGGCACCTTGCCCTGTTCAGGTAGGCAGGGGAGCTCCACTATAAAGTCAAACAAATCCTAGACTGCCATATACACAGGGGGGCACTACAGTATCTAGTATCATGGAAAGGGTATCCCCTGTCGGAGGCCTCGTGGGTAAGGAGCAGGGATGTAAGGGCTCCTCGACTAGTTAAAAGGTTCCACCATAAGAATCTGCGCAAACCAGGTGCAGAGAGTACCATGAGCCCAATAACCAACTAACCAACTTTTGCCTTCTAGATGTCTCCATGGTAGGAGGGGGCTGCATATCAGCCCCAAATTGGCCAGCCGCGAGTGAGCTGACCCAGGGCTGTCATTAGGGAGGGGAGAATCCACCATGGCCACGTGAGCCATCAGCTGAGAGACAGAATGGCTGAGCACCAGGTGAACGCCAGGCCACTGCTTCATTGGGCTAGGCACTGCTGATAATGGCCCCGGACCTGCAGTCAGCTGGGAAGCGGATAGCCGGCAATCAGCTGTGAAGCGGAGACCAGCCGAAACAGCTGAGCATCGGCATCTGGAAGCCATGGGTGCACACATGAACCTTCTGTTGGGCTAAATGTGGGCAGACACCAGGGGGTGGGGATGCCACAGGGTGGGATAAACACACATACTTAAGAGGGAAGGACTAAACTGCAGTTAGCAGTGACTTTGTTTTGCTGCTTTGCTGGTTGGTCACTTTGTGCCGGGTTTCACGCTTTCAAGGATAAATGCTTCAAACTGAACTGTGTTGTCTGAGGTTTCTGGATGCTGAACTATGGAACATGACACAGAGAGCTCTAAGGACCCCTGGTTTCAACCATGATCGTATTGTTGTGGCCAGCAAATTGCCTTTTTTTTTACCATAATCTTTGGACAACTCTGCTCACTCCTCCCTCCCTCCTTCCCTTCCATCCATCCTCCCTCCCTCCCTCCCTTCCCACAGGGAAGCATTATGCTCAGAAAACAATCCAATAGTCTGAGCTGGAACCGGACATCCAAACATGGAGGTGGATGGGGCTCCTCTTACCTCTGCATCGTTCCAGGTCAGTTTATTCTCGAAAAATCCGTAGCAATGCTGCTCATAAAGAAACCAGTTCAGGGGACAAGATACTGCTTCCAGGCCTGTTGGTGGAAAGAGAAGGCGTTGTCAAAGAGGAGGAGATGGGGGTCACCCGCCCTGAGCCCATAGATTCAAACTGAGAAGAGGGGGAGGAGAAGGGACTTGAAAAAGGGGAAGAAAAGAGACACCCTAGAAATAAGGGCAGGACGGTGCCCAGCTGGAGGGAAGCCAGGACGTGGATGGGGTGCAAAGTACGGTGAGAGCCTGGGAAGACAGGTGGGGGCAGCCTCCCCTCAAGTAACAGGGTCAGAAGAAGAAAACAAAAGAGCAACTCAACAAGGACCGATATCTGGACCAATGGGCTGGGAAGGGTCTCAGGACACCCTTTGCTTAAATACCAATGGATGGTTGGGTGGATTTTCTGCTCTTCGGTTTCACAAATTCCTTGACCCATTGTTTACTAATTCATTGTTGGTCTGCTATTAATCTTGGTTAATCTTTGTTTACCTGTTGTTGATTGCTGGCAAGGGGGTTTTGGGGGTTTTTGGTCTCCTTTTTGGCTTTCTGATTGTCTCTCTTGAATGGTGTGTAAATGTTGTTTGTGCTTAGCTGAATGTTGGTGCCCAAACCTTTTGGTTAATTTGGGGTTCCTATAACCCACTTAATGTCACAACACATATCTGCCAGAATATGGCTTTGATTGCATGGTTGGGCCCACATTCTGGCTCTGACTCTCATTCCTGTGAACCCCATAATTTGTCCAGGGTGAATAACATTGCCTCGAGAGCTTTTCCTGACCTTCGTCATCTCAATACTTGAAGATCTGAGGAGAGAGCTTAGCTTACATTCCGTTTTGTGATGGCAATCTTTATATTTTCCTGCCATGACGGGGCATTTTCTCCCCAATTTGTATGGCTGGAACTACATCCATTTTTTGAGTTGTCCATCAGAGAATCCTAGGGCTGGAAGGGACGTCGGAGGTTTTCTAGTTCAATCTTGTGTTCAAGGCAGGACACTTTATAGCATCCCAATCAAATGGAAAACCTCCAGTGATGGAGCACCCACAACTCCAGGAGGCAAGCTATTCATTGATTAATTTTTCTCGCTGTCAAGATAAGAAACTTATTATTTCCATGCTGGATCTCCCTTTAATGAGTTTCCACCCATTGGTTCTTGTTCTGCCTTTCTATGCTTTGGAAACTAAGTCAACTTCCTCTTCTCTGTGACAGCCCTTAAAGTACTGGAATCCTGCTATCATGTCACTCCTAGTCCTCCTTTTTGCTAGACTAAACATATCTAGTTCCCTTAGCCTCATACACTTTAGCCTCCAGACCTCATACCATCTATGTGGCTCTTCTCTTTCTAGAAATGCTTCAACATTTTTTTGCATCAACAAAGACCTACCTTGTATGAAGAAAGAGGCCACCAGGAAGCCCAAAAAGGGCACACAAAAAGAGGCGAACCCCATCTGGAAGGTAAAAGAAACAGCAAACTAAATCAAGGAGCTGCTGTTACCAGATGTATTGATGTCCTCCAGCTGTGATTTCAGAAGGAGATTGGATAAATTCTAGGAGGAGGATGGGATCTCATCGACTCCTAGTCTTTCTGGCTGTTTATCCCCTCCTGAGTCAAGACTGTTGGACGAGCAGGCACAGAAACAGCCAGGGAAGTGATTGAAGCCTAGGAAACGGCCCCCTCCTCAGTCAACAAGAGTGCTGATTTACCACCAGTTGGTCAAATACTTGGGAGGCAAGGGCTTGGCAGCACAAGCAAACCTCAGCTAATGACTTAATAGCCAGCCATCAATACCCCAATCAACATCTAACAAGCCACATACAATATGCACCATATAAATACCACAAACAGAACAACCCAAAGCCCACCCTCTGCTAGAGAGAAGTTCCCTGAAGATGGGCTCCAGCACAAGTCCAAAAGCTCAGGAGGCAAAACCTCTGTTCCCACTGACTGACCCAAATTAGTTCCCTCAACATTATCCTGGAACACATAGATTCACCTTCATTTGTATATCAATAAATTACAGTAGCATCCTTAACTGTCCAACAGCTTGCCACCCTCTTCTTGCTACTGAATTGCCTAAAGACTCCTGGGTTGACCTCTGTGGGACATAGAATGGTGGCCTGGATGGACTCCACTCTGTCCTTCCATCTTTCTGTTTTTAGATAATGAAAAAGAAATCTAGAGGTCCCTGAGGAACAATTTTTCCTTTCGTTGGCCTTTTGGTAAATTGCAGAAACATAAAAAGCCACACATGAGGAGAACTTCATGAGAACCTGAACAAGTCAATCCCCCACCTGTAATACCTTGACTGGCACTGGTTTAGCTGCCTTTAAAAAAGGAACCTGTGGTTAGCATCTCGTTATTAAATGCTATGGACCAGCCAGATGTGTCCCCTCTATCAATTGGTGGGTCCCCTCTGACGTATCCTAGAGGCTGCGTTCGGATGGAGGCTGCTTACAGATCAGTCTTTGTATGCTGTCAGGAGAATTGTGAGCTTTTGCTCCTTCTGGGTACAATGCTGGTTCTTTCTGAACCATTTATTTATGAGTGGGTTTGGGAGTAGTGTGTAAGTGTGGCAAACAGGTACTACAAGGACAAATATCTACTGAAGCCAGAAGCACATCGAGATCATTTTTTATGTGGAAATGCCACGGCTGAGCAGTGATCCAGGCAATGGGAAATACATGCTGGAAAGAGGAAAACATGCACCAGCAGATCCCAAAGAGTTGACAAAAATCTTCTTGAGAGCAAGGTAGACATCTAGGAAGAGTGTTTTAATCTATGGTAGGAAAAGGAGGCTGGTGTGAGGAAAGGACAAACTTTGTGCAGACATGTTAATGGACAGGAGGTTGATATAACATCATAGAGAAAGCCAGATCAGAGCATTTTAAACCCCTCTATGACAGACCCAAAGTGACCATTTTGGAAAAAGGAGACTTTGAAACAAAGAATCCTAGAACTGGAAGGGACATTGGAGGTCTTCTAGTCCAATCCTACATTCAAGTGCAGACCAGAGGTGGGCTTCAGCAGGTTCTGACTAGTTCTGGAGAACCGGTAGCGGAAATTTTGAGTAGTTCGGAGAACCAGTCGTAAAAATTCTGACTGGCCCCGCCCACATCTACTCTCTGCCTCCCAAGTCCCAAGTCTCAATCATCTTTATGATACCGCATCAGCCTTCGAACCTGTGTCATCCCAAGGCATTGGGATGGGAACTCCCAGCATTCCTAGCAGCAGGGAGAAAGGATGGGAAATATGGGGGTGCAGTCCCAATGCACATCACGAGCATCTTGTTAGGACAGACTGTCCCAAATCACAGCAATATCTCCTCTTCAGTTCATTGCTGATCAATTGACCAAGAATATCAGCCATTATATCTATGACTTGTCTTGTTCAGTAGTTTTATTTCAGGAAGAAATAACTCCATGATTCAGCCGGCAGAAGGAAGCCTCCAATCTTTTGTACTGCGGTATGAATTTCCTAAAGAAATTAGTTTCATCTGAATGAACTTCATGTTTTCAGCATCTTTACTGCTCAAATGCTTTCGTCTCACTTTGGAAGGGCACTTTTGATCACTGGTTGTCGAGCACCCACAACTTCTGGAGACAAGCCGTTCCGCTGGTTACTAGACTAGCCATGGCCAATTCAGCCTCCAGTCCCTTAACCATCTTTGTTACTCTTCTGTGCTCCCTTTCACGACTCTCCAAGAGTCCTGCCTGTTTCCTGATCCTTGGAAAAGTTCCTTTGGAAAGAAGCCACCAAAGATTTGATGGGCTCCATCCCTATTTTCTCCTTCAGACGTTTCGTTAAGGGAGAAAATGTTGTGTCCTCCAGGAGGGCATCAGCCACCAATTTTCTGGCTGGAGTTAAATAAGACAAAACTAAAGTCAGCAACACATGGAAGACTTAATGGGCTGATTTCAGTACAGACTGTGATTTTTTTAAATTGCTTTTTAAAATTCCTTTGCTATCATCCCTTTCACATTTTGATTTTCTTATTTTGTGGGTTTGAATTTGTAATTTTTGACATGTAAAATTAATTAATTAATTAATTTTTGACAAGTAAAATTAATTACCGTAATTACCGTCATTAATTTTACGTGTCAAAAATTACGAATTAATGAATGAAATGGATGAATAAACAAACAAATAAATTCCTTGCCCATCGTCCCTGTCACGTTTTGATTTTCTTTGTTTTGTGGGTTTGAATTCGTAAAATTTTGTTTGAGGAAGCCAGCAAGGAGAGAGAAAAAATTCTCTCCCCCCTGAGGTAAAAAAATACCTAGTCAGGGCTGAGAGTCCCTGTTCTCTGACCCTAAATTACCCTGTATTCATAATCATCTTTACACTTATGTCTGTTATCTTATACGTGATAGATAGATAGATAGATGATAGATAGGATTAATTAGAATAGATAACTAGATAGGATTAATTAGAATAGATAGATAGTTGTGCAGAAAATGGAGGACGTGGGGTCTTGGCAGGCTTTTTAGCTGTCCTTTTCACTGCCTGTAGAGCCCAGCTAGGACTTAAAAGGCGCTAGACTGTAGACTGCCCTCTATAGGCAGTGAAACGGACAGCTAAAAAGCCTGCCAAGACCCCGCGTCCTCCATTTTCTGGCGCGAGTCTTTTTACCTCAGAGGAGGGAGAGATTTCTCTCTCTCTTTGTCTCCTTTTCCACCTGCAGGTAAGCGGTTTTAAAAGGGGTTAAAATAAAAAACTGCCTGACTAGCTTCGTTGCTTGCATCCTTACGATTCATATTGATATTGGTTGTTTCCTGATTGCTTATTTGTACCCTTAGAATGTATTTTATTCTCCTCATGTACACTGATTTTAATTTTTTTAATTCATTAAAATACACAAATACTTAATGAGCAGTGTATTGTCTGGATCCATTTGTTCATACAAAGTATTAATATATACTGAGAGTAATAATTATAATAATAAAAACAACCATAATTAAAATACTACTAATTGCTTATTTATGATAAAATTCTTACATCATTTACTATGCAATAATGATAATACTGCTAATAAAAATAATAATAACTAATATTAATACTAATATTTGCTTATATATATATAATACAATTTCTTACTGTAGATTATATAATATTTTTATATATTTCTTTTCTTATAGATATATTACTAATCTTTCATCTTCTAGTTTCCACCGCTTTTATCCAACCATTGATAGAACATAAAGAGCGGTCAGGGTTGATCTCCTCTAGGACTGACCGGTTGGATCGCCTTGCAGTCCAAGGGACTCGCAGGAGTCTTCTCCAGCACCAGAGTTCAAAGGCCTCCATTCTTTGGCTCTCAGCCTTTCTTATGGTCCAGCTTTCACAGCCATACATTGCAACTGGGAAAACCAGAGCCTGGACTATACACACTTCTGTTGGCAGGGTGATGTCTCTGCTTTTTAGTATGCTGTCTAGATTTGCCATAGCTTTCCACCTCAGGAGCTTTTGTTTGTTTGTTTGTTTGTTTAAATTTATTTATTTAAATAAATAAATAAATACATACATACATACATTTTTATACCGCCCTTCTCCCAAGGGACTCAGGATGGTGCACAGCCACAATAAAACACATATATCCATAAAATTTAAAAACAGTTTAAAACATATTAAATAATTTGGCCCTTATATTAAAAAAAAACTAAAAAAAAAACAACAACCCCAAAAACTAAAATTTCTTTTAATTTCTTGGCTGCAGTCCCCATCTGCACTGATCTTGGAGCATGTCTGTCACTACCTCCATTTCTTTCCCTTCTATTTTCCAGGAATTCAGAAAAGAATTGAGAAAAGAAAATTCTTTTCTTATATATATATTATTAATCTTTCATCTTCCATTTCCCACTGCTTTTATCCAGGGGTGAAATCCAATTTTATTTACTACTGGTTCTGTGGGCGTGGCTTGGTGGGTGTGGCAGGGGTAGGATACTGCAAAATCCCCATTCCCTCCCGACTCTGGGGAAACTACTCAAAATTTCTGCTACCGGTTCTCCAGAACCTGTCAGAACCTGCTGGATTTCATCCCTGTTTTTATTCAGCCATTGATAGAATATATCCCATGTTGAAAAGTATTCTGTTTTTTCCTTATGCAAATACAATTCTCGCTGCCATTGACACATGTAGTATTAAATATGTAGTCCCTTTGTTATAATTTTCTGGTAATATACCTAACAGAAATATTTCTGGTTTTAAATCTATGTGTTGTTTTATCATTTTCTCTAACCGTGTATGTATTCTCGTGCAGAATTTTTTTGCTTTTGAATAAGTCCACCACATGTGGTAATAGGAACCTGATATTTGGTTACATTTCCAACATTTTGCGGACATATTTTTAAACATCTTCGCTAGTCTTGCTGGTGGCAAATGCTACCTATAAAATTTTATAGAAAGTTTCCTTATAGGTAGTTGCCATTGTTAATTGTTAATAATATATATATTCTTTCATCCATATAGGTTATTTCAATATCTAATTCAGTCATATCTATCATAACAAATTAGTATAAAAAACTTCCAAACATTTTACTTCTCAGTAGTCCTATTTCCCAGCATTTCTCTTCCTTTCCAGCCAATAGTAAAAATTTGTTCCAGATTTCATAATACTCTGATTCATCCTTATCTTTAAGTTCCAGGGTCAGTCTGTTCGTTTCCGCACAAAATAATATTTTGGCTAACACTTCTTCTGTGGGAGTCTCTTTGTTTTTTCATTTTTGTGCAAAAGCTAATCTTGCTGCTGTTAGAATATGTAACATTAGGTAAATTGTGCCCTTATTGTATATGCCCTCGATAATACTTAGCAGAAAGAATTCTGGTTTTGCTTTAATATTTTGCATTAGTATCTCCTCTATCTATTGTCTATCAGTTGCCAAAATTTTGTGGCTTTTGGGCATTCCCACTACATGTGGTAAAAGGTTTCTGCCACTACCTCACACTTCCAGCACCTCGATGAATGTTTTTTGCGTATTTTTGCTAATCATGTGGGTGGGAGATGCCACCTATAAAACATCTGATATAAATTTTCTTTGTATGTAGTAGCTAAGGTAATTTTTATGTTTCTCTCCCAAAGATCCTGCCACTTATCTAAGTCAATACTATAGACGAAATATTTGCTCCAAATTAACATTGTTTCTTTTACCTGCTCTTCTAGCATATCTTGTTCTAATAGATAATGATATATTTTCCTGATATTTGTTTTCAAGCCATGAGGGTTTATGTTTATGAGGGTTTCACAATTTCTCCCGTTCTTGTAGTGCACAACTCCTTATCTGACATGCTATCTTTGGACTGTCATCACTGACTCTAGACTTCAGTTTAAGGCCTTCCTGGTTGAGTTCACTGTACTTTGTAATTACAGCATGTTCCCAGTCTTTGCAAGCTGTAGGTCATATTCTACCAACAATGTATTACCTGGATCAGGTTTTTGGTACATTGGAATATACAATATTTTATATTCTAATGGATGCATGGCAATAGGATGGGGTCTATCAGAGGGGGAGAAGGGGAAGCAGGAGGAGGAAGAGAAGGATGGAGGAGAGGGAGAAGGAAGAGAAATGGTGATGGAGGAAGGAAAAGAAAATGGCGAATGATGGTGGTGGTAGTAGTGGTGGTGATGGAGGAGAAGGAAAGGCAGATGGTAGAGGAAAGGACAATTTGTAGACCAGCCCATTTGAAGTTTGGTCTTTGAGGACATCTCTCACTCCTTCCCAACCTGTTGCATATTAGGAGGACCAACCTAATTTCTGGAGATTTGGGCGGACAGTCTGAGGATTCCTTTCCTAGAAGACCTCCACAATGTCTTCCAACCCCATCATTCTATGGATGGTGTTCCATTCTCACCTGACGAGGCAGACAGCTGGATGAAACTCAGGTATTTCCTTCATCTAGGAAAGGTTTCATCCCAGGATACATAGGGAATGGATGAATAATCAGTCCATTTCCACATTTTTTCTGTAAAAAGAGGAAGGACCACCTTCAGCCTGGGTAGTCTGGAGAAGGGGCAGACCAGGCGGCAAGCACCTTGCCTTACACCTCTCCACACAGAAGCGCCTCCTTTGCAAGAGCAGTGCCTCCATGCACCACATTTTCTGGTGTTTTCCTCCCTGATTCTCCAACGCAATTTGCAGATCTGCGTGCCCTCCTTGGTGGCTAAAGGGGAAGAAGAAAACTGGGCACGTTGCTGGAAGAAAGTCGAAGTTGGTTCTCCCCCTTCCTTTTCTTTCTTAAACTGAACAAACACGATAATTTGCAAAGTATAATACTTAAAAAGCAGAGCAATTCCCAAAGGGCTTACAAACAAACTTCAGTACTATAGAATAACAAAAAAGAATATTTTAAAAGACTTACAGAAGCAATTCTAGCCCTCCATTAAAGCACTAGTCCTCAATTCCACACAGCACCAAAAAAAAAAAAAAAAACCCCGAAAAGAAACTCGGCGCCAGCTGCAAAAATCACTGGATCTTGTTTGACCATGTGACTAGGGACAAAAAGACCGGTTTCAGGAAATTGCATGTCGTAACCCCAAACGGCACAGGCAAGTCACAGAGTTAAAAATGGCCACTGTTGCAGCAGTGACTGAATCCAAATCACATGGCTACAAACAAAGCCCAGGGGGGCTTTACCGTAATGGCTTTACCATGGTGGTAAAGAGGGTCACTGAGCAGTCGACTGCTCGAACCCACATCCGAGGCCAGCAACCAAGAAAGCCCCACCAAAAAGAGGAGCAGTGATGGTGAAACCCAAGTCCACCACCAATTGGGGGGGGGGAACCAAATGGTTCTCTTTGCCTTCCAGCGAGGAGGAGGATGCCCCAGTGAAAACCCAGAAGCCAGTTGAAGAGCATGGTGGCAACAGCAACAATGATCCACTGATGTGTGGTTACTCGAAACCAATGGTGGTGAGGATGAACTTGAAAGCAGTCTCCTCAGGGCAGAAAGAAGAATTAGGAGATTGTGGGTATATCCATTGCCTTATAAGCCCATCCCTAGCCTTGGAATGCAATTCCGTAAGCTAAAAGCACCAGTAGCATTCCAACAATTAGATGGCTCACGTGGTGGTGGTGGTGGTGGTGGGGACGACAAGGCTTTAATTCTGAGCTTCACATGACTAGAGAAATGGAATCCAGCAATACACTGAGATTCCGTCAACCACAACCCATCCAGAAAGTGGCTGTGGAAGTAGAATTTTGCAAGTACAGGTAGTTTTCAAGGTACAAACCTAATGGAGCCTGCTCATTACACTTTGTAGCAGGCCCAAAGATCCCCTCTGCATGAACCCTGGCCAAACTGTCCAATACATTTATCGTCTACATGGGGCTCCCAAGAGTATCATAACCGATCATGGAGTGCAGTTCACTTCTCATTTTTGGCAGGAGTTTTTGAAGTCATTAGGCACCACCCAAGGTCTAAATTCCTTGTACCATCCTCAGATTAATGGTGCCGGTGAACTTACCAACCGTTGGAATAATACCTTTGATGTTTTATCAATTACCAGCAAGACAATTGGACAGAGCTATTCCCATTTGCAGAAGTAGCTTATAACAATGTAGTACATAGCAGCACTGGCTTTGCAACTAGCAGAGGCTTTGTAGCCATGTTGGAACTACCACAAGAGGCACCTGTGCCTTTCCCTAACAGGATGGATAAATCAATCGCAAACTACTTGGCCATTGTTCTGTCAGGTATTGGACAAGGCTAGGGAAACTTATGAAAAATATGCTGATAAAAATGGCCCCCAAAAGGAGTTTCATGAAGCTTATTTCTCTACAAATATCTGCAATCTAGGCAACCATTGAAAAAGCTTGGCTCTAAATCTGTGGGTCCTTTCCCCATCGTAAGGATTACAAATCCAATAACTGTTGAACTTAAATTACCAAAGAACCTTAGAAGGATTCATCCCGTCTCCCATTGTAGTCTGCTTAAATCGGACAAAACCTCCCCTGCCCCCCGCCTGCCTGCAGAGACCCCTTTCCTTCTGAGTCTTTCGGGTTATTTAAGATATTTCAGGAAGCTCTAATTGGTTTGTGTGCCACGGTAATGCCGCATGGTTCTAATGGTCTGTTGGTGGTTTCAGAGATGTTTTTGATGTTGGAGTGCCATATATCTCCCATAGGGAACATTCTCAGTGCTGCCACGATTGGTTCATTTTGGATTTGGTTCAGTTTTTTGGCAATGAGCACCGGGAGTCCTCTCAATGAATGAAAACACACAAGAGAAAAATTCAGAAGCATCATCTGCCCTCGGATTAGAGTTTATTGATTAGTGACACCACATGGAAAAGAAAGTCTGATGCGCAGGCTTCTTCTGTGGGTCAGCAGGTTGATGTTGTAGTAGCCAGGGAGATTCTGGCTTCCAACCTTCAAGGTGCTTCCAGCTGTATTCAGTACACATCCATCTTGCACAGATAGGGCTGTTTCTTCTCACAAAACTGGAGACTCCAATATTTATAGTCTAGAAGAAATCAAATAATTGATTGGACTTTTGTTGCAACTTTATTGTAACAATCTTTTATAATTTGTACTTAAGAAAACAGTATTTTATCACAAAGGATTAACTTTTTTTGGATAGGAACGTTTAAACATATATCTTTGCCATTATAGTTTACAGGTAGTCCTCAACTTACAACCATTCATTTAGTGACCATTCAAAGTTACAACAGCACTGAAAAAAATGGTTTATGACTGGTTTTGACTGTTGCAGTACTCTTATGATGAAGTTATCAAAATTTAGACATTTGACTACTGGCATATATTTATGACTCTTGCAGTGTCCTGAGGTCATGTGATCCTTTTCGTAACCTTCTGACAAAAAAAGGAAATGGGGAAGCCAGATTTGATTAACCTTGAGAGATGCTTCTTACTGGATGGTACTACTTGGTTTCTATTCCTGCCCCCCAGTTACTGATGTCAGGCTGTCAGCTTGCAGCGTGTAGCTTAGCAAAAGGGCAGCCATGACACAAGTGTTGTTGAGATCTTCAGAGAAAGGAGTGAGGAAGGACAATAGATGGCATTACACCAAGGGCAAAATGAATATGTCCCATTCTGATGATCTTGGAATTGAGATCATCAATGAGCTTCATTGAGCTTAACTGGGTTCAGCTTCTTTCAAAGCCTCAATACAAATTTTATGAGTTTCCCTTCTCACACCTAAAAAACAACGCCATCACTTCAGTCGTGATGCTGTCGGGAATATTGAACTCTCCAGGGTCAGGACTTGGAAGAGGGGGTAAAGCAAAAGTAGGCAAGATGTTAAAAGTAAGAAAAACATCTCTCTGCATCCCATTGTGGCTGGGTGAGCTTTTTTTGCTCAGTCAATTAAGGTCTTAACTGGATTTGTGCAATAAACTGACCCTCTGGCTAAGTAAAGTTTGCACATCTTCGTAAACCATGGAAAAAAATTAATCCAGGTCTAAGCTAACAAAACTAACCCGTGTCTACCTGAGTCAGTTGGAATGCTAGCAGCTACAATTTGAAGAATATGCAAAGCTCAGTTAGGTATTTTATTAGATTTGGTGCATGTCTGTGGGGCTGTGGATTAACATGCTGTCCAAACCCACTTTGGCAGTAAGCTTTCGTTCCACGTTTTGGCCAATTCAGAATTCTGTTGGAATTCCAAAAAGCCACCAAGTTTTTCAGGAAGTCTTCAGTAATTGATTTGATAGGTGAATGTCTATGGAGATTCTCAATCATCCCGATCACGGTTGTCCCAAAGTTGTGCTTTTTCCAAATGCAACTGGAATTCCATGATGAACTAAAGAAGCTTCTTCAATGAGAAGGGAAACATTATCAAACAGAAGACCAAGAAAGAGCAGTTGCCTTTTGAGGGGGGGAAAACCACCTTTGGGACTATTTGATAAGTGGTTCCCCCTAGCAGCATGGAAGATAGTGATCTTCCAATGTATGATGGAGATGATGGCAAAGGTGTTTGCTTAAAAGATTTAAAAATTTGGAAACTTGGAGGGAGCAAATTGGAAAATTTTAAGGACTATAAATTTAGGATATTTTGAGGAACAGTTCAGGGATTGTGTAAAGGGCGGTATAAAAATTTAAATAATAATAAATAAATAAATAATAAATAAAAATATGGATGAGATAATAATTCATAAAATAGAACAGAAAGTCCAATTATCCTTTAAGAGTTCAAAATATAGAAGAGAATAAAGAGAAAAATCTCCTAAAAATAAGGAAAGATCTATGGATGGCTACTTTAGAGATCCAACAGCAAGAGATAGATGTTGTGGCAGATGAAATATTTAGATTAAATAAACCTGATGAAAGGAATTGCAAGATCCCAAGGGAGAAACATGAAAGACTCACCAAAAAGTTAATAAGAGGTGAAATTCTAAAAAGGGCAAGAGATGATGGATAGATACAGAATATTTTTCAACATGGTGGTTATTTTATTAAGTATTAGAAAAAAGAGGTAGAAAGTAGAAATTGGGAAAATTGTATTATGTATACTGAAATATAGAACACATTATAATTACACAAATGTTAGAAGTTGGAACATTATGATTATGTATATTTAAATATTATTATTTTTAGACCTATGTATAAAGTATATCGACCCAGACAATACTCTGTTCACTTACGGCTTATGGCTGTTAAAGAAAAACTATCAATAAAATTATTTTTAAAAAAAGTCAACAATTCATAAAGGAGCAGTTGTTCCCCATTTTTGCTCTACTGGAGGATTGGCATACACTCTTTAGAGTCATTAGTGACAGAAATGGTCTGAAGCTTACAGAAATTACTAAATAGGATTCATTCAGAAACGAAGCCCATGGGTTGTGTGAATGCAGTCTCTGATTTTATGCATATTGGCTATGGAGGATTGGAAGGTGATGCTTTTTCACACATCTGGAGAACACATGCTTGAAAAGTCTAATATACTAGAACCGAAAATCTTCTCCTTACCACTGTCATGTAACTGGACACACCTCCAGTCATTTTTGGAAGGTTCAGAGGGTGCCCAAGGAATGTAATCCGCCACGGATTCGTCTACCCATTTCATTTGTATCTGTAAAGAGAGAAAGCAGTGTCATCTCCCCAAGTGTTTTTCTGAATTTTGCAGAAATGAGGATATTTCTTCTCAAATGTACTTCTCAACACCCAAAGGGTCAAATGTAAGAGGGATCAAGTTGTCCTAGGGGACAACAGGTTAAGTACATGCCAGCAGTGTGCCTCAACTGCCCAAAAAAACCCAAGATAGGCTCAAGATCAGAAAAGGCGATAGCATTGCTTAATACTGCACTAGTGAGGCCACACTTAGAATATTTAGAATCCAGTTCTGGCCACCACGATACAAAAAACATGTTGAGACTCTGAAAAGAGTACAGAGAAGAGCTACAAAGATTAGAGGGTAGGAGGCTGAAACATATGATGACTAGTTGCAGGAACTGAGTATGTCTAGTCTAACAAAGAGAAGGATTAGGGGTGATGTGATAGCAGTCTTACAATATTTGAGGGGCTGCCACAGAGCAGAGGTGACTATCTATTCTTCAAAGCATCTGTAGGTAGGACAAGAAGTAATGGGTGGTTTCAGGGAAACGGAAAAATATAAGTCCAGTCCAGCACAATACCACTGAAAAAGAAAAACAAGAAATTGAAGAAGAAACCAGCATGGTTACACAAATATCTCTCCGATAAACTGAAAGACAAAAAGGACAGGTACAAAAAATGTAAAGAGGGACACATAACTAAGGCAGAATATCAGCAGATAGCCCGAATCTGCAAAGATAAATCCAAGAAACAAAGACTCAAAATGAACAAAGACTTGCAACAAAAGTCAAAGTTAATGAAAAAAGTTTCTTTCAACATGTACATAAGGGTCGGTTCACCAAAGAGAAGAAGGCAAGGAAGTAACAGGCAGTAGAGAGAAAGCAGAGCTACTTAACTCATTCCTTGCATCTATCGCCCAACCTACCAAAAACATAGCCATAAAAGACAGACTAGAAATAAAAATTAAAAAAAAAAAAGAAAATAGTAAGAGAACACCTGTCTGATCTTCATGAATATAAAACACTGGGACCTGATGGATTATATCCCAGAGGTCTGAAGCTGCTGGTTTATGGTTATCTCAGAACCATTGTAAACAAATATTTCAAAAATTCTGAAGCACCAGGAAACTGCCAGTGGATTGGAAAAGACCTAATATGGTTCCCATGTTCGAAAAATGAAAAAACAGATCCAAGAAATTACAGATCAATCAGCCTAGCATCAATACCTGGGAAGACATTGGAAAAAATAAGAAGAAAACAGATCTCCAAACATTAAGAAACAAATAAAGTTACAAATAAAGAAGCCAACATGGGTTTGTTAAAAACAGGTCATGCCAAATCAATCTTGTTTTATTCTTTGACAAAGTGACTAAATTAGTAGAGCAGCAAAATGCTCTGGACATAATATACTTAGACTTCAGTAAGACATTTGACAAAGTAGACCATAACCTACTTCTTGGTAAGCTAGAAAAAGGTGGAATACGGGTGACATGATACCAGTATTTGAGGGGCTGCCACAAAGAAGATTGGGCCAACCTATTCTGCAAAGCACCTCAAGGCAGGACAAGAAGCACCAGATGGAAACTAATCAAAGAAAGAAGCAACCTGGAATTAAGGAGAAACTTCCTAACAGTGAGACAAATAAGTAGTGGAATGGATTGCCTACAAAGTTGTGGGTGCTCCATTACTGGAGGTTTTTAAGGAGAGACTGGACAATCATTTGACTAAAATGGTATAGGGTCTCCTTCTTGAACAGGGATTTAGACTAGAAGACCTCCAAGGTCCCAAGGGTGTTATTCTATTAAGTATGGTAGCCATTGGTTTTTGGAGCTTGGTAGGTAATGAAGAAAGTTAGCAGCCAACCCCTATCCTAGAAGAATTAAATAATTTAGGAAATATTAAAGAAGGCAGAATATTACACTTCCCTGTATGATAAAAGAAGAAACAAGTTTTAAAGACAGAAAAGAGCTCCCTGCCCCCAGCAGATATTTGGTGCCCATTAGGAAAGACTGGCCCAGCCTATCCACAAGACAAAAGACCTCTAGCTCCAGGGTGATGGGATTAAGACATGACCCTCCAGGACATAATAAGATTAACCTATCTAGCAGCAGAGCTCACCACATGGCACAATCAATGGGGACATTGCATCACCAGCAAGCTTCAACCAAACCTGGGACTCGGACAGCCTACAAAGTTAGCTGTGACCCCTACAATAGCCAATAAAATACATGTTCTTGCACAGGAACAGGAAGTTCAAGTGCAAAGCCCAAGAGAGAGTATAAATACCTTTCTCTCTCTCTCAATTCCATGTGGTCAACTGCAACAGGACCATGTACTTGATGATTCTGCTTCATTAAACATCTTTCCAATCAGCTTCCCTGTTTCCCGTGTCTTTCTCCATGCTTGGAACTGAACCAGATGGATATTTCTCCCAACACTAATAAAGGGAAGATTCAAAACTCTCTTTTGGCTCCTTAATGAGCCAATAATTTCCATGTCCATTTTCTGCGAGACATGAGCCCTCCATGACACTTAGATAGATCTTGGATCAAGTTAGTTCAGGGCTAGAAGCATGATTATCGTAGTTTAATCATCACTAGAAAGTTGCATGTTTCTAACTTCCAACTGGATCCCACTCAAAACGTCTTAAGAGATCTCCCAGAAAGGAAGACACATAGAAGAGAAAGCCACAGAGGTCTGAAAACACCTCCAAAAGATCCCACTTCACTTAAGGGCCTTCTTTCCAGTCATAGCTGTTGATCAGCATCCAAACACAGGTGATGAAAGTTCCTATGTTGAACTGTGTGAATTGGGACACGGGTGCCCTGGGTATGCAAAGACTATGAGGGAGTTTGGAATTGTGACAGAGTTTGTTAAAAATGCTTATACTCACTGATGAGGGGAAACGATACAGATGTTTTTGTAATTTCTCTGTTTATCTACTCTTGAGCAATCAGCTTGTGTTTCCTTACTTATTCTACGTGGTTCCTAGCCAGCCTTGTGAGTGTACCAAAAGGATACTATTGCTCAGATCTGAAGAAACGTGTCATTTAGAGAGAATTGGGATCTGTCCCTTTGTCTATTCTGAGCTCAATCTAGACAGCGTGTGTAACATAGCCATGGTCAACTTCTTAAGATCCGAAAATTGCACTGAGATCCAAAACTGAATGTTTTGAAGGCTCTCCAAGGAACCCCCCCACATACTAGGATTGCTGTTGTTAAGTCCTGGTGTAATTGTGCTGTGATGTAAATCCATTGAGAGATTGGCTTATTCGTGTCACCTCCTCCCTCTCCCCACCCCCATCCCCGAGCTTTTCATTGTCTTCAGATATATACCACTCACTCCCTTTTCTCCCAAACGTCTACTCACCTTTCCTTTCTTTCCGGGGACTTTGAACATTCCAATCCAGATTTTAAATAACTCTTTGTAACCGGTGAGTATAACAGAAGATATAGTTTCCATTTCTCGTTCGGTGTGGATGGAGGCAAGGTGGGCATGTTTGCCATGTGAACTGCATTCTATCTGGGAGACATCAAGCAGACACAGGTTAGGGCTTCCTGTTTTAGATGCTGACCCTATCCTTTAGACCAGGGGTCTTCAAACCTGGCCACTTTAAGACTTGTGGATATATATCAGTTATGCTGGCAAAGATAAACCATACCAGAACTGAGGACTTCAAGGTTGTCCCAATTAGCACATTCCTTCTTTGTTTCTATTTTGAAAACCTGCTCCCATTCCTCCAAGAATTTGTTTCCCTCATAGTAGAAGCTTTGTCTGACAACATCCTTTCTTTGCTGTGCCCCTATGATGTTACTTTCATTGCTCCTCAGTCCTACCATTAGACAACCCTAAGCTATGGTTTTCTATACTGAGATTGAACTATGTGAGGGGTCCTTGGTGCTCTCTGAGCTTGGCGCCGATGATATTATCTAGTTTGAGCGATGAAACATCTGCAGGAAATAGCCAAGCTCAGAGTGTCCGCCCCGAAACGGCCAGCCGTGAGTGAGCTGTCCTGGGGTTGCCATTCGAGGAAGGGAGGATTCACCATCACCATGTGAGCCATCAGCTGAGAGGCGGAATGGCTGAGCACTGGGTGAATGCCAGACCACTGCTTCGTTGGGCTAGGCACTACTGAGAATGGCCATGTGTTACACACGCTTGCCACAAGGTACGGTCGAACCCAGCCTTGAATTGATGTACCATCAACCGCTCCGGCCACTCCCTCACCTTTCCTGACAACCTTCGGAATTCTTTTATGTATTCGGCCACTGGCCTACCTCGTTGTTTGACTACCAACAATTCACCTTCGGCTTGTTGCAGTCGTGTGTTATCCTCAAACCACTCCTGCATGGCTGAGAAGAACAGGCCTACATCTCCTAGTTCCCCAGCATGGTTGTTATATAAATCAGAGACGCAGTTGGCCGCCTCACCCTCCATAATGATGGCCACTGCCATTACCATGGCCCACTGGAAAATATATAGAGTATATGGCCGTACTTATCGAAATGGTCAATCACTTGTCCCAAAAAGAGGGCTACCCTGTCTGGGCTGCCATCAAATGAGGCCTGCACGGCTGGCGGATCTCATCATCCCATAGGGCTCCTGCGCAGGTAGGCTCTGAATGGCTAGACTGATTGGCCGAACACACTCCTAGGTGTTGCCAGGTCAGTAAGTGAATTCCCTGGTCCTGAACTGCGGCGCAGCGCAGCAGATACGCAGTCCCTAAGCCCTATTCCCTATTGTGCATATCATCAACCCAGTGACAGTGGAGGTGAAACTCCCTCGGTGTTCCATAGTAGCTTGCTGCGGCCTGTGAGGACCTCCAGTATATGGGGTGCCTCAGGGCAGGCACCTCGCCCTGTTTAGGTAGGCAGGGAGCTTCACTATAAAGTCAAACAAATCATAGACTGCCATATACACGGGGGCACTACAGTATCTAGTATCATGGAAAGGGTATCCCTTGCTGGAGGCCTTGTGGGTAAGGAGCAGAGATGTAAGGGCTCCTCAACTAAGAATCTGCGCAAACCAGGTGCAGAGAGTACCATGAGCCCAATAACCAACTAACCAACTTTTGCCTTCTAGATGTCTCCATGGTAGGAGGGGGCTGCATATCAGCCCCAAATTGGCCAGCCGCGAGTGAGCTGACCCAGGGCTGTCATTAGGGAGGGGAGAATCCACCATCACCACGTGAGCCATCAGCTGAGAGACAGAATGGCTGAGCACCAGGTGAACGCCAGGCCACTGCTTCATTGGGCTAGGCACTGCTGAGAATGGCCCCGGACCTGCAGTCAGCTGGGAAGCGGAGACAAGCCGAAACAGCTGAGCATCGGCATCTGGAAGCCATGGGTGCACACATGAACCTTCTGTTGGGCTAAATGTGGGCAGACACCAGGGGGTGGGGACGCCACAGGGTGGGATAAACACACATACTTAAGAGGGAAGGACTAAACTGCAGTTAGCAGTGACTTTGTTTTGCTGCTTTGCTGGTTGGTCACTTTGTGCCGGGTTTCACGCTTTCAAGGATAAATGCTTCAAACTGAACTGTGTTGTCTGAGGTTTCTGGATGCTGAACTATGGAACATGACACAGAGAGCTCTAAGGACCCCTGGTTTCAACCATGATCATATTGTTGTGGCCAGCAAATTGCCTTTTTTTTTACCATAATCTTTGGACACCTCTGCTCACTCCTCCCTCCCTCCTTCCCTTCCATCCATCCTCCCTCCCTCCCTCCCTTCCCACAGGGAAGCATTATGCTCAGAAAACAATCCAATAGTCTGAGCTGGAACCGGACATCCAAACATGGAGGTGGATGGGGCTCCTCTTACCTCTGCATTGCTCCAGGTCAGTTTATTCTTGAAAAATCCGTAGCAATGCTGCTCATAAAGAAACCAGTTCAGGGGACAAGATACTGCTTCCAGGCCTGTTGGTGGAAAGAGAAGGCGTTGTCAAAGAGGAGGAGATGGGGGTCACCCACCCTGAGCCCATAGATTCAAACTGAGAAGAGGGGGAGGAGAAGGGACTTGAAAAAGGGGAAGAAAAGAGACACCCTAGAAATAAGGGCAGGACGGTGCCCAGCTGGAGGGAAGCCAGGACGTGGATGGGGTGCAAAGTACGGCGAGAGGCTGGGAAGACAGGTGGGGGCAGCCTCCCCTCAAGTAACATGGTCAGAAGAAGAAAACAAAAGAGCAACTCAACAAGGACCGATATCTGGACCAATGGGCAGGGAAGGGTCTCAGGACACCCTTTGCTTAAATACCAATGGATGGTTGGGTGGATTTTCTGCTCTTCGGTTTCACAAATTCCTTGACCCATTGTTTACTAATTCATTGTTGGTCTGCTATTAATCTTGGTTAATCTTTGTTTATCTGTTGTTGATTGCTGGCAAGGGGTTTTTTGGGGTTTTTGGTCTCCTTTTTGGCTTTCTGATTGTCCCTCTTGAATGGTGTGTAAATGTTGTTTGTGCTTAGCTGAATGTTGGTGCCCAAACCCTTTGGTTAATTTGGGGTTCCTATAACCCACATAATGTCACAACACATATCTGCCAGAATATGGCTTTGATTGCATGGTTGGGCCCACATTCTGGCTCTGACTCCCATTCCTGTGAACCCCACAATTTGTCCAGGTGAATAACATTGCCTCTAGAGCTTTTCCTGACCTTTGTCATCTCAATACTTGAAGATCTGAGGAGAGAGCTTAGCTTACATTCCGTTTTGTGATTGCAATCTTTATATTTTCCTGCCATGACGGGGCATTTTCTCCCCAATTTGTATGGCTGGAACTACATCCATTTTTTGAGTTGTCCATCAGAGAATCCTAGGGCTGGAAGGGACGTCGGAGGTTTTCTAGTTCAATCTTGTGTTCAAGGCAGGACACTTTATAGCATCCCAATCAAATGGAAAACCTCCAGTGATGAAGCATCCAAAACTCCGGGAGGCAAGCTATTCATTGATTAATTTTTTCTCACTGTCAAGATAGGAAACTTATTATTTCCATGCTGGATCTTCCTTTAAGATCTTCCTGGATCTGGGAAGAGTTTGATTCTGTGACGCCCGAAGACGTGGACAGGATACTGGGCAGACTGAGCGCAGCCACATGTTTACTGGACCCGTGTCCCTCCTGGTTGGTGCTGGCCTCTCGGGAGGTTACACGAGGCTGGCTCCAGGGGATTATAAATGCTTCCTTGAGTGAGGGTGTCTTCCCTGCCGCCTTGAAAGAGGCAGTGGTGAGGCCTCTCCTCAAGAAACCTTCCCTGGACCCGGCAGTGTTGGCAAATTATCGTCCAGTCTCCAACCTTCGCTTCGTTGCGAAGGTTGTTGAGAGTGTGGTAGCGCGACAGCTCCCCCAGTACCTGGATGAATCGTCGTATCTGGATCCGTTCCAGTCGGGCTTCAGGCCTGGGTACAGCACGGAAACGGCATTGGTCGCGTTGGTTGATGATCTCTGGAGGGCTCGGGACAGGGGTTGTTCCTCTGTCCTGGTCCTATTAGACCTCTCAGCGGCTTTTGATACCATCGACCATGGTATCATGCTGCACCGGCTAGAGGAGTTAGGGGTGGGGGGCACCGTCCTACGGTGGTTCTCCTCCTTTCTCTCTGACCGGTCGCAGTCTGTGTTGACGGGGGCAGAGGTCGACCCCGAGGCCCCTTGTATGTGGGGTGCCTCAAGGGTCGGTCCTCTCGCCCCTTCTGTTCAACATTTATGTGAAGCCGCTGGGTGAGATCATCCATGGTTTCGGGGTGAAGTACCACCAGTACGCTGATGATACTCAGCTGTACATCTCCACCCCGGACCACCCCAATGATGCCCTTGAAGTGATGTCCCGGTCCCTGGAGGCCGTGCGGATCTGGATGGGGAGAAACAGACTCAGGCTCAACCCATCCAAGACCGAGTGGCTGTGGTTTCCGACATCCCGATATAGTCAGTTGGTGCCATCACTGATTATTGGGGGCGAGTCACTGGCCCCCACGGAGAGGGTTCGCAACTTGGGTGTCCTCCTGGACTCACGGCTGTCTTTAGAAGAGCACATGACGGCCGTGGCCAGGGGGACTTTTTATCAGGTCCGCCTGATTCGCCAGTTGCGTCCCTTTCTGGATCAGGACTCATTAAATACGGTCACTCATGCTCTCGTTACTTCCCGCTTGGACTACTGCAATGCTCTCTACAGAGGAGCACCCGGAGGCTCCAGCTGGTCCAGAATGCGGCCGGGCGGGTGGTTATGGGAGCGCCGTGGCGCTCCCATGTGACCCCCCTCCTGCGCGAGCTGCACTGGCTCCCGGTGGTCTTCCGGGTGCGCTTCAAGGTTTTGGTTACCACCTTTAGAGCGCTCCATGGCATCGGACCGGGGTATCTACGAGACCGCCTTCTGCTACCAATAGCCTGTCACCGACCAGTACGCTCCCATAGAGAGGGGCTCCTCAGGGTGCCGTCGGCCAACCAGTGTCGACTGGCGGCCCCCAGGGGGAGAGCCTTCTCTGTGGGGGCACCTACCATCTGGAACGAGCTCCCCCCAGAGATACGGAAGATCCCGGACCTGCGCACGTTTCACCGTGCTCTCAAAACTTTTCTATTTCAGCAAGCTGGCCTGGCCTAACTTCCATCTTTTAAATTTTTAAATTTTTTAATTCGTGATTTTACAAATTGGGTGTTTTAATCTGTGTTTCGGCCGATATATTTAATAATTTTAAGGGATTTTTTAATATTTGTATTATCTGTATTTTATCTTGGCTGTTCACCGCCCTGAGTCCTTCGGGAGTAGGGCGGTATAGAAACTTGATTAATAAATAAATTTAATGAGTTTCCACCCATTGGTTCTTCTCCTGCCTTTCTATGCTTTGGAAACTAAGTCAACTTCCTCTTCTCTGTGACAACTCTTAAAGTACTGGAATCCTGCTATCATGTCACTGCTAGTCCTCCTCTTTGCTAGACTAGACATATCTAGTTCCCTTAGCCTCATACACTTTAGTCTCCAGACCTCATACCATCTATGTGGCTCTTCTCTTTCTAGAAATGCTTCAACGTTTTTTTGCATCAACAAAGACCTACCTTGTATGAAGAAAGAGGCCACCAGGAAGCCCAAAAAGGGCACACAAAAAGAGGCGAACCCCATCTGGAAGGGAAAAGAAAGGGCAAGCTAACTCAAGAAGCTGCTGTTACCAGATGTATTGATGTCCTCCAGCTGTGTTGATTTCAGAAGGAGATTGGATAAATTCAGGGAGGAGGATGGGATCTCATCAACTCCTAGTCTTTCTGGCTGTTTATCCCCTCCTGAGTCAAGACTGTTGGACAAGCAGGCACAGAAACAGCCAAGGAAGTGATTGAAACCTGGGAAACAGCCCCCTCCTCAACAAGAGTGCTGATTTACCACCAGTTGGTCAAATACTTGGGAGGCAAGGGCTTATCAGCACAAGCAAACCTCAGCTAACGACCTAATAGCCAGCCATCAATACCCCAATCAACATCTAACAAGCCACATACAATATGCACCATATAAATACCACAAACAGAACAACCCAAAGCCCACCCTCTGCTAGAGAGAAGTTCCCTGAAGATGGGCTCCAGCACAAGTCCAAAAGCTCAGGAGGCAAAACCTCTGTTCCCACTGACTGACCCAAATTAGTTCCCTCAACATTATCCTGGAACACATAGATTCACCTTCATTTGTATATCAATAAATTACAGTAGCATCCTTAACTGTCCAACAGCTTGCCACCCTCTTCTTTCTACTGAATTGCCTAAAGACTCCTGGGTTGACCTCTGTGGGACATAGAATGGTGGCCTGGATGGACTCCACTCTGTCCTTCCATCTTTCTGTTTTTAGATAATGAAAAAGAAATCTAGAGGTCCCTGAGGAACAGTTTTTCCTTTCGTTGGCCTTTTGGTAAATTGCAGAAACATAAAAAGCCACACATGAGGAGAACTTCATGAGAACCTGAACAAGTCAATCCCCCACCTGTAATACCTTGACTGACACTGGTTTAGCTGCCTTTAAAAAAAGGAACCTGTGGTTAGCATCTCGTTATTAAATGGTATGGACCAGCCGGACATGTCCCCTGTATCAATTGGTGGGTCCCCCCTGAAGTATCCTAGAGGCTGCTTTCGGATGGAGGCTACTTACAGCTCAGTCTTTGTATGCTGTCAGGAGAATTGTGAGCTTTTGCTCCTTCTGGGTATAATGCTGGTTCTTTCTGAACCATTTATTTATGAGTGGGTTTGGGAGTAGTGTGTAAGTGTGACAAACAGGCACTACAAGGACAAATATCTACTGAAGCCAGAAGCACATCAAGATCATTTTTTATGTGGAAATGCCACGGCTGAGCAGTGATCCAGGCAATGGGAAATACATGCTGGAAAGAGAAAAACATGCACCAGCAGATCTCAAAGAGTTGACAAAAATCTTCTTGAGAGCAAAATAGACATCTAGCAGGAATGTGTTAGTCTATGGTAGGAAAAGGAGGCTGGTGTGAGGAAGGGACAAACTTTGTGCAGACATGTTAATGGACAGGAGGTTGATATAACATCATGGAGAAAGCCAGATCAGCGCATTTTAAACCCCCTCTATGACAGACCGAAAGTGACCATTTTGGAAAAAGGAGACTTTGAAACAAAGAATCCTAGAACTGGAAGGGACACTGGAGGTCTTCTAGTCCAACCCTACTCTCAAGTGCAGACCAGAGGTGGGTTTCAGCAGGTTCTGACTAGTTCCGGAGAACCGGTAGCGGAAATTTTGAGTAGTTCGGAGAACCAGTCGTAAAAATTCTGACTGGTCCTGCCCCCATCTATTCTCTGCCTCCCAAGTCCCAAGTATCAATCATCTTTATGATACCGCATCAGCCTTCGAACCTGTGTCGTCCCAAGGCATTGGGATGGGGACTCCCGGCATTCCTAGCAGCAGGGAGAAAGGATGGGAAATATGGGGGTGCAGTCCCAATGCACATCACGAGCATCTTGTTAGGACAGACTGTCCCAAATCACAGCAATATCTCCTCTTCAGTTCATTGCTGATCAATTGACCAAGAATATCAGCCATTATATCTATGACTTGTCTTGTTCAGTAGTTTTATTTCAGGAAGAAATAACTCCATGATTCAGCCGGCAGAAGGAAGCCTCCAATCTTTTGTACTGTGGTATGAATTTCCTAAAGAAATCAGTTTCATCTGAATGAACTTCATGTCTTCAGCATCTCTACTGCTCAAATGCTTTCGTCTCACTTTGGAAGGGCACTTTTGATCACTGGTTGTCAAGCTGCTTTTTTAATAGAATAACAGAGTTGAGAGGGACCTTGGAGGGCTTCTAGCCCAACCCTCTGCTGAAGCAGCAGACACTGTGCCATTTCAGACAAACGGTTGTCCCATCTGTTCTTTAAAACCTCCAGCAATGGAGCACCCACAACTTCTGGAGACAAGTCGTTCCGCTGGTTAATTGCTGTCACTGTCAGGAAATTTCTCCTTAGTTCTAAGTTGGATGTCTTTTTGATAAGTTTCCATCCATTGCTTTTTGTCCTGCCTTCCGATGCTTTGTAGAATAGTCTGAGCCCCCTCTTGTTGTAACACTGCTATGGTGTAGCCCCTAGTCCTTCTTTTCACTAGACTAGCCATGCCCAATTCAGCCTCCAGTCCCCTAACCATCTTTGTTACTCTTCTGTGCTCCCTTTCACGACTCTCCAAGAGTCCTGCCTGTTTCCTGATCCTTGGAAAAGTTCCTTTGGAAAGAAGCCGCCAAAGATTTGATGGGCTCCATCCCTATTTTCTCCTTCAGACGTTTTGTTAAGGGAGAAAATGTTGTCTCCTCCAGGAGGGCATCAGCCACCAATTTTCTGGCTGGAGTTAAATAAGACAAAACTAAAGTCAGCAACACATGGAAGACTTAATGGGCTGATTTCAGTACAGACTGTGATTTTTTTTAATTGCTTTTTAAAATTCCTTGGCTATCATCCCTTTCACATTTTGATTTTCTTATTTTGTGGGTTTGAATTTCTAATTTTTGACAAGTAAAATTAATTAATTACTGTAATTAATTTTACTTGTCAAAAATTATGAATTAATGAAATGAATAAATGAATGAATGAATAAACAAATAAATTCCTTGCCTATTGTCCCTGTCAGATTTTGATTTTCTTATTTTGTGGGTTCAAATTCGTAATTTTTGACAAGTAAAATTAATTAATTAATTACCGTAATTAATTTTACTTGTCAAAAATTACAAATTAATTAGTGAAATGAATGAATGAACAAATAAATTCCTTGCCCATCGTCCCTGTCACGTTTTGATTTTCTTTATTTTGTGGGTTTGAATTCGTAAAATTTTGTTTGACAAAGCCAGCAAGGAGAGAGAAAAAATTCTCTCTCCCCTGAGGTAAAAAAATACCTAGTCAGGGCTAAGAGTCCCTTTTCTCTGACCCTAAGTTACCCTGTATTCATAATCATCTTTACACTTATGAGTGTTATCTTATACGTGATAGATAGATAGATAGATGATAGATAGGATTAATTAGAATAGATAACTAGATAGGATTAATTAGAATAGATAGATAGATAGTAGTGCAGAAAATGGAGGACATGGGGTCTTGGCAGGCTTTTTAGCTGTCCGTTTCACTACCTGTAGAGGGCAGTCTACAGTCTAGCGCCTTTTAAGTCCTAGCTGGGCTCTACAGGCAGTGAAATGGACAGCTAAAAAGCCTGCCAAGACCCCGCGTCCTCCATTTTCTGGCGCGAGTCTTTTTACCTCAGAGGAGGGAGAGATTTCTCTCTCTCTGTCTCCTTTTCCACCTGCAGGTAAGCGGTTTTAAAAGGGGTTAAAATAAAAAACTGCCTGACTAGCTTCGTTGCTTGCATCCTTACGATTCATATTGATATTGGTTGTTTCCTGATTGCTTATTTGTACCCTTAGAATGTATTTTATTCTCCTCATGTACACTGATTTTAATTTTTTTAATTCATTAAAATACACAAATGCTTAATGAGCAGTGTATTGTCTGGATCCATTTGTTCATACAAAGTATTAATAAATACTGAGAGTAATAATAATAAAAACAACCATAATTAAAATACTACTAATTGCTTATTTATGATGTTGCCAGGTGTCCACTTTTTGAGCGGACAGTCCACTTTTTTCACATGTTCACTATTTTTTTTTCACAAAATAATGGACATTTTTTTTATTCAAAAGCTTTATGATGAAATTAAAATGTAATTTAATATTTTACATATTATTATAATATATTTGATGTTTTGAAGTATTCTGTTTCTTCCTTATTCGTTATATTTAATGTTAATTTATCCATCTCTGCATAGTCTAATATTTTTCTAATTATGCTTTCATCTGTAGGTATGTCTTCATTTTTCCTATGTTGTGCAAATACAATTCTCGCTGCCATTGACACATGTATTATTAAATATGTAGTTCCTTTGTTATAATTTTCTGGTAATATACTTAACAAAAATATTTCTGGTTTTAAATCTATGTGTTGTTTTATCATTTTCTCTAACCATGTATGTATTCTCGTGCAGAATTTTTTTGCTTTTGGACAAGTCCACCACATGTGGTAGGAACCTGATATTTGGTTACATTTCCAACATTTTGCGGACAGATTTTTAAACATCTTTGCTAGTCTTGCTGGTGGCAAATGCCATTTATAAAATTTTATAGAAGTTTTCCTTGTAGGTAGTTGCCATTGTTAATTTATAATTTCTATCCCAAAGCTTTTGTCATTTATCTAATTCTATGGTATATCCAAAGTTTTTTGCCCACATTATCATTGTTTCTTTCACCTGTTCATCTCTAAAAAATCTGATGCAGTACTGTTGGCTCTTTGTAGACTGCAAGCAAATAATTCAGATTAGAGAGCACCAAAGACCCCACAACCAAGCTCAGATAGTAAAAAAAATATTTGTAGCTCAGGGTTGATTGTAGGGTTCTTGGTGCTCTGAGCTTGATGGTTTTCTTGGAGATATGGCTGAATTGTCTACGTGCCAGGATTTATGGAATTCTCTTGCACTTTAGTTTCCCAGCTGAAATTGTGGTTGTTACTGTCGATATGTTATGAGATGAAGAAGTTCTCCAGCGCGCTGCCTGGAGAATCCAAAATAATGGGTAGGTTCCTCAGTTTCATTGCTGGACTGGGTGACTGTTTCTTTAAGAAACATCCTTGGCCACTCCTTCTGTGTCTGGCTAGTCCCCAGTTCATTCACTCAGTCAAGCAAGAGACTGGGTTTCTCCTTGGCTCTAGCAATTTGACTGAAGAACTTCCATATTTTGGATTTCCAACCTCCTTTCTGAGCGGTGTGGATTCAGTTCTGTCATCAACCTTGTCGAGCTGTCCTAATTCTGCTCTTCGGCGGCGGGTGAGTTTGCCCTGGGATTCTACCAGGGGGGCTCCCCTCCGTTCGTTTTCTGTCATGTTCCTCGGAGCTCTATCATGTGGCAACTCTGAGTGATTAATATATTGCCGCTGGCGCTGTGTTGGGATCCGGTCTGCCGGAATTACCACCTTCGCCTTTTCCACACCGCTCCAACTCTGAAGTTGCGGCCAGGGGTCCCTACATTCTTCAGCAAACCCCTTTTTTAAAAGGAACCGCTTTTTTTCTTTAATAAGTTTGTGGCGCTGGGAGGCTTAAGCTAGCGATTTTTCCATCCTGTCTAATTCGGCTGTTTCCCGCCCGTTAATGGCGCTGGCGGCTGAGTTCGTGCCGCACGCCATTTTGGATGATTGACAGCTTCCCTCAGCGGCCCCTTTCTCGGCGGTTTCGGCGGTAATGGCGTTCGGCGGCTGAACTCAGGCCGCCCGCCATTTTTACCTTGTTTAGTGACTTCCCGCCGACTTTCTGAGAAAGGATCTGGCGGCACCGGCGATCGACGGCTGATCCAACCCCGCGCCTTAAAATAGTTTTACCTAGTGACTTTTGCTTGTTAGCAAGGGTCTGGGTTTGAGTTTATCGCCGCAGGGCGCTTAATGGCTCCATCGGGCTTTGCGCCATTTCAAATGGTTTCCTGAGACGCCTGATGATTGACAGTTACAAGGGCCTGTGCTTGCCCAGGAGGGCGTTTTGTCTCAACGGGCTTCTTACTGAGTTGAAAGTGTGCCTTATTTTTTCTGCTCTGCTGCAAACCGGTTCTGGGTGTTTTGACACCTTATGACCATTTGATTATGGTTTATTTTACTGATCTGTCTGCATATCAGCAGTGCTCCTGTATATATATATATATAAAAAAAGAGAATAAATCAATAAATCTATAAAGCAATCAATAAATATGTACATAATATTAATAATAAAATATTAATACATTTTTAATCAATTTCAATCTCTGAACTGTTTTGTTTCAGTGACTTACCTTATCCACACTCCAGTCATGGCTGACTCTGATATGTCATCGGAAGTGGAGCAGGCCTATAGTCCACCTGAGGCCAGAAAGCGGTCTAAGACGACTTCCAGGGCTCCAAAGAGTCGTGCTGTCAGGGCTAGATCCGCTAGTCCTCATCCTTCCACACATTTGATGGCCACGGATAGGGCGGAAGAATGAAGGCGTAAGGCCTTTGAGAGGCAATACCTTCTTGCCCAGCAAAGGGCCCAATCCTCCCATCGACAACTGTCTCCGGATAGGCAATCCCAACTGCCTCTGGATCATTCTATGGCGGCTCAAGGCCCCTCAGATGTTCAACACCTGAGGGAAGCTGCATTTCCATCAGTGATTCCAGAAACCAATGAGCCAGTTAGCCAACCTTCGGTTCGGGCTGCTCTGGAGGCTACCTTTACGCCAACCGCAGCTGGACTTCGTCCATCTGAAGGCCTCCAGCCCGCTATGTCTCGGGATATCCAGGATCTAGTGTCTCAGACTGTCTCTCGCATCCTGGCGTCTGCTCCTCACCATCATCCTCACCACCTGTCTCAAACTCAGGTCATGTCTCAACCCGCGTTGGCTCCTGTATGTGATGAACAACGACTTGTCTATTCACAGCATCCTGAATCCTTCCTTGCGGAGGATTCCCTATGGGAGGAAGAGGAGCTCGAGGAGGGAGAATTGTCTGAGGATGAAGATCTAGCTCTGGAGAGACCTGCATTCACGGGGCTTTTCAGACCTTCCATGTTTAAATCCTTGCTCCACAAGGCCAAGGTTACCACGAACATGGGCATTACTCCCTCTCAACCTTCACAAACCGCTGGTCTTAATCCTCATGACGATTTGTTTCACCTGCAGAAACCGGATCAGGATTTTATCCCATGTCCGGAGTTATTCACAGACGTGGTTCAGAGATCGTGGTCTCAACCGGCCTATATATCGGCTCCTACCGGACTGGACAAACGCTTGTATTGTTCTGATCCTACCTTTCAAGACCTGATACAAGTGCCTACTGTGGATCCCCCTGTGGCCCACCTTACGTCTTCCTCGGTGATCTCTAACGACGTCCTTGATGGACTCAGGGCCGAGGACAGGAAGTCTGAGCTGTCTCTCCGCAAGACACACCAAGCAGACCTGATGACCTGGGCCATCAGGTCTGCTACTGCTACTTCCTTCTTTGCCCGCGCATCGCTGATCTGGATGCGCCAATTACAAGAGCGGCTCCCACCTGAGGACAGCAGGCTCCACCACGACATAAATAAAATCGTGGCAGCCACAGAATACTGTGCAGACGCATCCTTAAATGCGGCCAAATTTTCGTCCCGGGCCCTTGTCTCCAATGTCACCACCCGGCGTCTTCTTTGGCTCCGCCACTGGAAGGCTGACCTCAAATCAAAGTGGAAGCTGGCATCTGCTCCCTACAAGGGTTCTCTTCTCTTTGGAGAAGCCTTAGACCCGATACTTGTGGAGGATAAGGATAAGCGTAAAATCATGCCATCCTCCTACAGACGCCATGACAGGCGGTTTGCCCCTTATGGTCAACGGCAGCCATTTCGGACTGACTCCGGGCCCAGGGGGTCCTATTTTTCCCGACAATATCCCCATGGAAGAGATCGAGCCTTTGATCGACCTGCCTACCGTGATCGAGGCAGAGGCCAGCCTTCCACCAGACGCCAGTACTGTGGGTCCTCCAACCGGCCCTTCCGAAGGGGCAAGTGACTATGCTGCAGAACTCCCTATCGGAGGTCGTCTCCTCCATTTTCTGCCCCAATGGGTCTGTTCTACAACAGATGCTTGGGTTCTTCAGACTGTGCGCTTCGGTCTTACTCTAGACTTCCTCTCCAGCCCTCCGGACCGCTTCCTTCAGTGCCCTCTTTCGAGCAATCCGGTGAGGAGGGCATTAATGGACGCAGAGGTACAACACCTACTCGACATCTCCGCTATCGAACCAGTGCCGGTAGAACATCGGGGCTCCGGGTTCTACTCTTCCTGTTTCTCGTCCCCAAGTCTTCCGGGGACTGGAGAGGGATCTTGGACCTGAAGGCCTTGAACAAGTTCGTCAAATACCACCATTTCAAGATGCACTCGCTCAAATCGATCCTGCAGGGCGTCCGACGAGGCGACATCAATCAATCTCAAAGAGGCTTACTTGCATGTCCCGATCCGTCCTTGTCATTGACGGTTTCTTCGATTTGCCTATGCCAACAGGCACTTCCAGTATCAGGCCATGCCATTTGGCCTCTCGTCCGCCCCTCGGACCTTCACGAAGCTGCTGGCGACATTAGCAGCATCCCTGCGACAGGTCCCCATCAGGGTCATGTGCTATCTGGACGATATCATCATCCTTTCTGCTTCTCGTCATCAAGCGGTCGTCGATCTGAAGGTCGTTTCTCGTGTCCTACGACAGCACGGGTTCTCCCTGAACCTCAACAAAAGTCAGCTCTCGCCTACTACTCGCATCCTCCATCTGGGGGCTTTCATAGACTCCGTCTGCTGCCGGGTTTTCCTATCCCCCGACAGGATTCACAACATTCAGTCTTTAGTGACCAGGGTTCTTTCCCTCAGGTCCATTTCCCTGATCACTTTGTCCCAACTGCTCGGCAAGCTAATTTCGTGCATCTCCATTGTCCCATGGGCTCGTCTTCACACTCGCCCTCTCCAATGGTTCCTCCTGCCCTATCAGAGATCCCACCGAGCCTGTTCGAACATAACCGTTGTCCTACCAGCTACAGTACAGCTGTCTCTGAGGTGGTGGCTCTCCCAGGCCATACGGAAGGGCTCCTTCTTTCTGGAACCCAATCGCTTAACCCTGATGACGGATGCGAGTCAATTCGGCTGGGGCGCCCATCTGCAGTCGTCAGTTGTCCAGGGCCGCTGGTCCACTCGGGACTTACGGCATGACATAAATTGGCTGGAACTATGAGCGGTCCACCTCGCTCTCCGTCACTTCAGGACATCTGTGAGAGGGCATCATGTTCTAGTCCTAACGGACAATACAACAACGAAAGCCCACATCAACAGAGAGGGCGGAACTCGCTCCAGACAGCTGATGGAGGAGGCGACGAGAATGCTCCTTTGGGCAGAGAAGACAGTGCTCTCCCTAACAGCCGAGCACATATCCGGCGTCGAAAACATCACGGCAGATTGGCTCAGCCGGACTCAAATAGATCAGGCGGAGTGGTGTCTAGCTCCTGTCTTGTTCGGGGAGATATCCAGGCGGTTCGGCCTTCCAGCAGTGGACTTGTTCGCAACCCGGCTGAACACCCATCTTCCCCGATTCTTCTCCCGGTTCCCCTGTCCCGGAGCGGAAGGATGCGACGCTCTTCGGAGCAGGTGGCCGCAAGGCCTTCTCTATGCTTTTCCGCCTCTGCCGCTCATCCCTCGAGTGATTCGCAAGCTGTTGGAGGAGAAAGCGGATCTCATCCTGGTCGCCCCCAATTGGCCACATCGCTCTTGGTACGCGGACCTTCGGAATCTCTCAGTGGAACGTCCTTGGCACATTCCCAACGACCAGATATCTCTCAGCCAGGGGGTCGTACTGCACCCAGATCCTCAATGGTTGCAGTTGACCGTCTGGCATTTGAGAGGATCAGATTGAGGAAGAACAACATCCCGGCCAGTGTGATCCACACTATGCAATCTGCCAGGCGTGCATCCACTAACCGTATATATGACGTCACCTGGCGTGCCTTTTGCACTTGGTGCTCCAAGTCTCATCAGGACCCTACAACTGCATCTCCTTCTGACGTGCTTGTCTTTCTACAGGAAGGTTTGGACCGCGGCCTTGCTCCTAACATCCTCAGACGACAAGTGGCCGCCCTTAGCACAGTTCTGTCTTCTGGGAACGATCGACCTTTGACCCAGAATTCCAGTATACGGACATTTTTACGGGGAGCATCCAATCTACGTCCTCCTACAGTCCATAGATACCCAACCTGGGATTTGCCACTTGTTCTGTCAGCCCTCATGTCACCTCCATTTGAGCCTTTGGCTTCTATTTCTCTACGATATCTAACTCTTAAGGTTGCCTTCTTAGTGGCGATTACTTCGGCGAGACGTGTGTCCGAGCTGGCAGCGCTTTCGGTACGTCCTGACCTTTGCATGTTCCATCCCAGCAAGGTGGTACTTCATACAGATCCTTCCTTCCTGCCAAAGGTAAATTCTCTATACCACCGTGCCCAAGAGTTAATTCTTCCTGACTTTTGTCCGGCCCCTAGCCATCATCTTGAACAGCAATGGCATACCTTGGACGTTAAACAAGCTCTTCGCCGATACATCAAGCGGACTGCGTCCTTCCGTAAATCAGAGGCATTGTTTCTATCGTTTCATCCTTCTACCTTAGGCATGAAAGTTTCCTCATCCATGATAGGCCGTTGGATTAGGGCCTGCATCATCATGGCATATCTCTCTAGCCGGTCTCCTCTGCCAGGGAGGATACTTCCACACTCTACCCGTAGCGCAGCCACCTCAGCGGCTTGGGCTACCCAGGCATCTATCCTTGATGTCTGTAGGGCTGCTACATGGACTACCTTAACTCCTTTTGTTAGACATTACAAAATTGACTCCTTTGCCTCGGCTGAAGCTTCCTTTGGACGTCGAGTATTGCAGTCTGTCCTGACTGTTCCTGCCCGGGGTGACGCAGCCTCCCACCCTACTTCGAACTAGCTTGGGTATATCCCATTATTTTGGATTCTCCATCAGCGCGCAGAGAAGGAACGTTCAGGTAAGACAACGTTCGTTTTCACTGGGTCTTCTGACTGCTAGTTGGCGTTCATCAATGTGCTGTGCTAGTTTTCTCCTATCTGTCCTAAACAGCAGCTGTTATAGTCCTTATTCTGTATATTGCAAATGACTCCTGATTTTTTTTCCCCCTTCTGAGTCTTTTGGTTTATTTAAGATATTTTAGAGAACTTTAATTGGTTTGTGTGCCATGGTGTTGCCGCATGGTTCTAATGAACTGTCGGTGGTTTCAGATATGTTTTTTATGTCAGAGTGCCATATATCTCCCATATCCACCCAAGTAGGGAACATCACATCCGGGTGTTTCGCTGCGCTCTGAAGACCCTGTTGTTCCGCCAGGCAGGGCTATTAACATAACGTTTTAAATTGGGGTATTTTAAATTTCTGGGATTTTAATTGGAGCCTAATTATTTAATGATTTTAAATTTTAAATTGTTAAATTTCGTGTTTTTTGTGTTTTTAAATAGGCTGTACACCGCCCTGAGTCCTTCGGGAGAAGGGCGGTATAGAAATAAAATTATTTATTTATTTATTTTATTTTATTTATTTATCATCGGTGCTGCCTAGATTAGTTAATTTTTGATTTGGTTGATTGGGGGTGGGGGGGGGGGAATGACCACCAGGAGACCTCTCAATGAATGAAAACACACAAGAGAAAAATTTAAAAGCATAATCTGCCCTTGGATTAGAGTTTATTGATTAGTGACACCACATGGAAAAGAAAGTCTGATGCACAATCTTGTTCTGTGGGTCAGCAGGCTGATGTTGTAGTAGCCAGGGAGATTCTGGCTTCCAACCTTCAAGGTGCTTCCAGCTGTATTTAGTACACAGCCATCTTGCACAGATAAGACAGTTTCATCTCACAAAACTGGTCATTCCATACTTTATAGTCTAGAAGAAATCAAATAATTGATTAGACTTTTGCTGCAATTTTTGTAACACTTATAATTTGTATCTAAGAAGACAATATTTTGTCACAAAAGGATTAACTTTTTTGGATAGGAACATTTAAACATATACCTTTGCCATTATAGTTTACAGGTAGTCCTTAACTTACAACCATTCATTTAGTGACCGTTCAAAATTACAACAGCACTGAAAAAAATTGATTTATGACTGGTTTGACATGACTGTTGCAGTACTCTTATGATCAAGTTATCAAAATTTGGACATTTGGCTACTGGCATATATTTATGACTTGCAGTGTCCTGAGGTCATGTGATCCTTTTCGTAACCATCTGACAAGAAAAGGAAATGGGGAAGCCAGATTTGCTTAACAACCTGAGACAGCTGATGCATCTCACGGGATGGCACTGCTTGGTTTCTATTCCTCTGAGTTCCCTCCCTGCGTTCCTGCCCCCCCAGTTACTGATGACAGGCTGTCAGCTTGCAACATGCAGCTTAGCAAAAGGGCAGCCATGACACGAGTGTTGTTGAGATCTTCAGAGAAAGGAGTGAGGAAGGACAATAGGTGGCATTACACCAAGAGCAAAATGAATATGTCCCATTCTGATGATCTTGGAATTGAGATCATCAATGAGCTTCATTGAGCTTAACTGGGTTCAGCTTCTTTCAAGGCCTCAATACAGGTTTTATGAGTTTCCCTTCTCACACCTAAAAAACAACGCCATCACTTCAGTCGTGATGCTGTCGGGAATATTGAATTCTCCAGGGTCAGGACTTGGAAGAGGGGGTAAAGCAAAAGTAAGCTAGATGATAAAAGTAGGAAAAACATCTCTCTGCATCCCATTGTGGCTGGGTGAGCTTTTTTTGCTCAGTCAATTAAGGTCTTAACTGGATTTGTGCAATAAACTGACCCTCTGGCTAAGTAAAGTTTGCACATCTTCGTAAGCCATGGAAAAAAATTAATCCAGGTCTAAGATAACAAAACTAACCCGTGTCGACCCGGGTCAGTTGGAATGCCAGCAGCTACAATTTGAAGAATATGCAAAGCTCAGTTAAGTATTTTATTAGATTTTGTGCACGTCTATGGGGCTGTGGATTAACATGCTGTCCAAACCCACTGAAGTCTCTGACTTCATGCATATTGGCTGTGGAAGATTGGAAGGTTGTACTTTTTCACACATCCGGAGAACACATGCTTGAGAAGTCTGATATACTAGAACAAAAAATCTCCTTACCGTTGGAATATAACTCGACACAATTCTGCCTCTCTTGGCAGTTAGAAGGTTGATTTTGTGCCCAAGGCATGTATTCCGCCACGGATGCATCTACCCATCTCATTCGTATCTGTAGGGAGAGAAAGCAGTGTCATCTCCCCAAGTGTTTTTCTGAATCTTGCAGAAAAGAGGATATTTCTCCTCAAATGTACTTCTTAACAGCCGAAGGGTCAAATGTAAGAGGGATCAAGTTGTCCTAGGGGACAACAGGTTAAGTATAAGCCAGCAGTGCGCTTCAGCTACCCCCAAAAAAATAAATAAATAAAACACCAAGATAGGCTCAAGATCAGAAAAGGTTGATAGCATTGCTTAACACTGCACTAGTGAGGCCACACTTAGAATACTTAGAATCCAGTTCTGGCCACCATGATACAAAAAAAAATGTTGAGACTCTGAAAAGAGTGCAGAGAAGAGCTAGAAAGATTAGAGGGTGGGAGGCTGAAACATGACCGCTTGCAGGAACTGAGTATGTCTATCTAACGAAGAGAAGAATTAGGGGTGATGTGATAGCAGTCTTCCAATATTTGAGGTGACTATTCTTCAAAGCATCTGTAGGTAGGACAAGAAGTAATGGGTGGAAGATTATCAAAAAGTGATCCACCCTAGTGTGAAAATTTCTGACAGAACAATGAATCAGTAGAACGGCTTGCCTCCAGAAGTTGTGTGTACTCCATCGCTGGAGGCTTTCAAAAATAGACTGAACAACCAATTGACTGGGCTTCTACTGGGCTTCAACCAATTGATAGGGCTTCTACTTTGAGCAGGAGGTTGTACTAGAAGACCTGAGATCCCTTCTATCCCTAGGGTTCTATATTCTACATTCTGTTCTAAAACATGAGAGAATAAATTCAGGCTCAGGTGATTACATGCATACAGAGTTTCAGGAAAACTGAAAAATATAAGTCCAGTCCAGGACAATACCACTGAAAAAGAAAAAAAAAATCCAAGAAGAAACCAGCATGGTTACATGAATATCTCTTCAATAAACAATGTCAAAAAGGACAGGTACAAAAAATGTAAAGAGGGACACATAACTAAGGCAGAATATCAGCAGGTAGCCCGAATCTGCAAAGATAAACTCAGGAAAGTAAAGACTCAAGAATCTGATTGATTATATCCCACAGTTCTGAAGCTGCTGTCTTATTGTTATTTCAGAACCATTGTACCATATCTTTCAAGAATTCTGGAGCACTGGGAAACTACCAGTGGATTGAAAAAGAGCTGATGTGGTTCCCATCTTCGAGAAAGGAAAAAAACAGATCCAAGAAATTACAGATCAATCAGCCGAGGATCAATATCTGGGAAGACACTGGAAAAAATAAGAAGAAAACAGATCTCCAAACATTAAGAAACAAAGTTATAACTAGAAGCCAGCATGGGTTTGTTAAAAACATGTCATGCCAAATCAATCTTATTTTATTCTTTGACTAAATTAGCAGAGCAGCAAAATGCTCTGTACATGGTATACTTAGACTTCAGTAAGGCATTTGATAAAGTAGACCACAACCTACTTCTTGGTAAGCTAAAAAAATGTGGAATAGACAGCATCACCCCCAGATGGATTTGTATCTGGCTGACAAACCTTACTCAACGAGTAGTCTTTAATGGTACCATATCCACATGGAAAGAAGAAAGCAGTGGTTCCATCTTATGCTCAGTACTTTTCAGTATTTTCATAAATGATTTAAATGAGGGAATAGAAGGAGAACTCATCAGTTTTACAGATGTCACTAAGTTGGCAGGAATATCCAACACCCAGAAGACAAGCACAGGATCAAAAAAGATCTTGACAGACTTGAACAATGGGCCCTATCCAACAAAATGAATTTTAATGTGGAGAAAAGAAAAGATTTACACCTAGGCAAAAGAACCCCAAAGGTAGAAGTACAAATTATGGTTCAAAAACAATAACTGTGAGACGGACCATCCTTTAGTCAGATCTCATCTGGAATTCTACATTCAGTTTGGGTTACCACATTACAAAAAAGATGTTGAGACTGGAAAAAGTGCAAAGAAGAGTAACAGATGATTAAAGGCATGGAGATAAAAATATATGAAAAACGGTTACAGGAATTGGGTATGGTCAGCCTAGAGAAAAGAAGGACTGGGGTGACATGATAGCAGTATTTGAGGGGCTGTCACAAAGAAGATGGGGCCAACCTATTCTCCAAAGCTCCCGAAGGCAAGACAAGAAGCACCAGATGGAAACTAATCAAAGAAAGAAGCAACCTGGAATTAAGGAGAAACTTCCTAACAGTGAGAACAATTAAGTAGTGGAACGGATTGCCTACAAAGTTCTGGATGCTTCATCACTGGAGGATTTTAAGAAGAAACTGGACATAACTACAGACTGTACAGTTGCAGAGACTAAATTGATTTTGAACTTGATAACAGCAGCAAGATTGTTGGTAGCACAACACTGGAAGAAGGATTTTTTGCCTACTATTGATGATTGGATATTGAAAGTAATTTAGCTGAAATGGCTAAAATTTCAGCATATCTGAAGGATCACACACAAGAAAGGTATATACAGGACTGGAGAAGATGGATTGATTATATACAAAATAAGTATCAGACCAAAAAATATCAAATAGCTTATGAATGATCTCTTTTATTTGTATAAGCGCTATATAAGTGATATTAGAAGTATTATGTTTAAGAAATAGGATTTTATATATGGGGGGTTAAGAATTTTTTTTTTTTAGGGGGTGTTAGTTTAATGATTGGTTATGCAATTTAGTTTATTGTTAAAGGTCAATAAAAATACCTTGTGTTCTGCTCTGGGAAGTCGGGGAGGGGGAGGGGGGGTTGGGAGGGAGGGTTGTGGGGAAATTGTGTTTGTTTTAAAACTTTTTCAATAAAAAAAAAAGAAGAAACTGGACAATCATTTGACTAAAATGGTATACCACAGTGATGGCTAACCTTTTTGCTATCACGTGCCAAAAGTGGGGGGGAGCTCGGAGTGGTCATGCGCGCGCGTACCCATACCCATAATTCGATGTGCCCCCCCCCCCTGCATGTGCGTGCGAAAACCCCCCCCCCGTGCTCTCCCCACTTTTGGCATGTGATGGCACGGTGGGCCCAGGAGGCCCATTTTTCACTCTTTCCAGGCTCCAGACCCTTTCTAGGAGCCTGGGGAGGGCGAAAACGGCCTTCCCCACCTCCCGAAGGCCCTCCAGAAGCCGAAAACAGCCTGTTTGCCAACTTCCGCTTGGCCCGGAAGGCCCGAAAATCAGCTGGTGGAGCTGAGCTCGCGTGCCCACTGATATGGCTCTGCGTGCCACCTGTGGCACGCGTGCCATAGGTTCGCCATCACGGGTATAGGGTCTCATGGTTGAACAGGGGTTCAGACTAGAAGACCTCCAAGATCTCTTCCAACTGTGTTATTCTATTAACTAAGTATGGTAGCCATTGGTTTTTGGAGCTTTGTACAGTAGGTAATAAAGGGCAGATTCAAAGCTGTCTTTTGGCTCTTCAATGAGCCAATAATTTCCATGTCCATTTTCTGCGAGACATGAGCCCTCCATGACACTTAGATAGATCTTGGATCAAGTTAGTTCAGGGCTAGAAGCATGATTATCGTAGTTTAATCATCACTAGAAAGTTGCATGTTTCTAACTTCCAACTGGATCCCACTCAAAACGTCTTAAGAGATCTCCCAGAAAGGAAGACACATAGAAGAGAAAGCCACAGAGGTCTGAAAACACCTCCAAAAGATCCCACTTCACTTAAGGGCCTTCTTTCCAGTCATAGCTGTTGATCAGCATCCAAACACAGGTGATGAAAGTTCCTATGTTGAACTGTGTGAATTGGGACACGGGTGCCCTGGGTGTGCAAAGACTATGAGGGAGTTTGGAATTGTGACAGAGTTTGTTAAAAATGCTTATACTCACTGATGAGGGGAAACGATACAGATGTTTTTGTAATTTCTCTATCTACTCTTGAGCAATCAGCTTGTGTTTCCTTACTTATTCTACGTGGTTCCTAGCCAGCCTTGTGAGTGTACCAAAAGGATACTATTGCTCAGATCTGAAGAAACGTGTCATTTAGAGAGAATTGGGATCTGTCCCTTTGTCTATTCTGAGCTCAATCTAGACAGCGTGTGTAACATAGCCATGGTCAACTTCTTAAGATCCGAAAATTGCACTGAGATCCAAAACTGAATGTTTTGAAGGCTCTCCAAGGAACCCCCCCACATACTAGGATTGCTATCATGCTGTTGTTAAGTCCTTATGGAATTGTGCCGTGTAAATCCATTGACAGATTGGCCTATTCTTGTCACTTCCCCCCTCCCTCCCCCCAAGCTTTTCATTGTCTTCAGATATACCACTCGCTCCCTTTTCTCCCAAACATCTACTCACCTTCCCGCCCCTGATTTTGTACATTCCAATCCAGGTTCTATATGCCTCTCCGTAATTAGTGAGTATAGCAGAAGCTATGCTGTTCATTTCCCGTTCGCTGAGGATGGAAGCAAGGTGGGCATGTTTGCCATGGGAACTGCATTCTGTCTGGGAGACACCAAGCAGACACAGGTTAGGGCTTCCTGCTTTAGATGCTGACCCTGTCCTTTAGACCAGGATCTTCAAACCTGGCCACTTTAAGACTTGTGGACTTCAACTTCCAGAATTCCCCAGTCAGCATGGCGGAGTGTCGTCAGTTTGGTGACCCTTGCTTTAGAGCCCTCCCTCAGTTCCACCAGTCTATCCTTGTCCTTCCTGATTTCCTGTCTTCACGACATCTAAAATCTATAGCATGGAATCAAAAGCAGGACCTAAAAAGCAATCACCCAGGCTCACTGCAGTATTTATCCCTTCTAACTCTGTGATTCTGTATTTTAAACTGCATAAATATGCGTAATCAGCAAATACCTAGCTACTTCCCTTCCCATCTACTGTTACTATCCTCAAGAAAGAGTCTTAATAAAGAGAAACATATCAGTTATGCTGGAAAAGATAAACCATAGAGAACTGAGGACTTCAAGGTTGCCTCACTTAGCACATTCCTTTTGTTTGTTTTGTTTTGAAACAAAATTCCTCCAGTAATTTGTTTCCCTCACAGTAGAAGCTTTGTCTGGCAACATCCTTTCTCTGCTGTGCCCCTATGATGTTACTTTCATTGCTCCTCAGTCCTACCATTAGACAACCCTAAGCTATGCTTTTCTATACTGAGGTTTAACTATGTGAGGGGTCCTTGGTGGTCTCAGAGCTTGTTGCCGATGATATTACCTAGTTTGAGTGATGCAGGAAAATAACCAAGCTCAGAGAACACCAAGACCCCTCATTTCAACTATGATCGCATTATTGTGGCCACCAAATTGCCTTATTTTTTACCATAACCTTTGGACACCTCTGCTCACTCCTCCCTCCCTCCTTCCCTTCCATCCATCCTCCCTCCCTCCCTCCCTTCCCACAGGGAAGCATTATGCTCAGAAAACAATCCAATAGTCTGAGCTGGAACCGGACATCCAAACATGGAGGTGGATGGGGCTCCTCTTACCTCTGCATCGTTCCAGCTCAGTTTATTCTCGAAAAATCCGTAGCAATGCTGCTCATAAAGAAACCAGTTCAGGGGACAAGATACTGCTTCCAGGCCTGTTGGTGGAAAGAGAAGGCGTTGTCAAAGAGGAGGAGATGGGGGTCACCCACCCTGAACCCATAGATTCAAACTGAGAAGAGGGGGAGGAGAAGGGACTTGAAAAAGGGGAAGAAAAGAGACACCCTAGAAATAAGGGCAGGACGGTGCCCAGCTGGAGGGAAGCCAGGACCTGGATGGGGTGCAAAGTACAGCGAGAGGCTGGGAAGACAGGTGGGGGCAGCCTCCCCTCAAGTAACAGGGTCAGAAGAAGAAAAGAGAAGAGCAACTCAACAAGGACCGATATCTGGACCAATGGGCTGGGAAAGATCTCAGGACACCCTTTGCTTAAATACCAATGGATGGATGGGTGGATTTTCTGCTCTTCGGTTTCACAAATTCCTTGACCCATTGTTTACTAATTCATTGTTGGTCTGCTATTAATCTTGGTTAATCTTTGTTTACCTGTTGTTGATTGCTGGCAAGGGGTTTTTGGGGGTTTTTGGTCTCCTTTTTGGCTTTCTGATTGTCCCTCTTGAATGGTGTGTAAATGTTGTTTGTGCTTAGCTGAATGTTGGTGCCCAAACCTTTTGGTTAATTTGGGGTTCCTATAACCCACTTAATGTCACAACATATATCTGCCAGAATATGGCTTTGATTGCATGGTTGGGCCCACATTCTGGCTCTGACTCCCATTCCTGTGAACCCCACAATTTGTCCAGGGTGAATAACATTGCCTCTAGAGCTTTTCCTGACCTTTGTCATCTCAATACTTGAAGATCTGAGGAGAGAGCTTAGCTTAAATTCCGTTTTGTGATGGCAATCTTTATATTTTCCTGCCATGACGGGGCATTTTCTCCCCAATTTGTATGGCTGGAACTACATCCATTTTTTGAGTTGTCCATCAGAGAATCCTAGGGCTGGAAGGGACGTCGGAGGTTTTCTAGTTCAATCTTGTGTTCAAGGCAGGACACTTTATAGCATCCCAATCAAATGGTTGTCCTGTCTATGGGTGTTTTCATAAAAGAGAACCTGAGCTGAGGCACTCACATTGCAGCCCTGGTCAAAAGGGCCCAGCAGAGATTATACTATCTGAGACTTCTCAGGAAACCACAACTGAATGGAAAACTGCTGGTGACCTTCTACCGCTGCACCATAGAGAGTGTTTTAACTTACAGTACCTGTCTATGGTTTGCCAATGGCACAGTGGCAGATAGGATAGCACTCCAGAGGGTCAACGTCATTGCCCAGAGGATCATTGGTTGCCCTCTCCCCTCTTTGGAAGAGCTTTATAGCTCCTGCTGCCTTAAGAAAGTTCATTCTTAAAGATCCATCTCAACCTGGGCACTCTTTTTTTGAACTATTACCATCTGGCAGATGTACAGGATAATAAAAACAAGGACAAATAGGTTGAAAAACAGCTTCTATCCCAGGGCAGTAACTATATTGAATTCTACTGTATAGTGCAATATTAATGCAATATCTGGTTTTTAATTGAATTGTATAGAATGTGAAGGATGTATGTTTTATTTTTATAGTTACAATGTACACTGAAGATGGCATTTAATTTCATTGTATGAGGTGCAATGACAATAAAGTAAAGTAAACTATTTTTGAAAACCTCCAGTGATGGAGCATTCACAACTCCGGGAGGCAAACTATTCATTCATCCCACCGTCAAGAAACTTTTTATGAGTTTTCACCCATTGGTTCTTCTCCTGCCTTTCTATGCTTTGTAGAATAAGTCAACTTCCTCTTTTCTGTAACAGCCCCTCAAGAACTGGAAGGCTGTTATCATGTCACTCGTAGTCCTCTTTGCTAGACTATACATATCTAATTCTCTTAGTCTTTCATCATAGAATTTAGCCTCCAGACCTCATACTATCTTTGTGGCTCTTCTCTGCCGTTCTTCAGTATTTTTTTGCATCAACAAAGACCTACCTTGTATGAAGAAAGAGGCCACCAGGAAGCCCAAAAAGGGCACACAAACAGAGGCGAACCCCATCTGGAAGGGAAAAGAAAGAGCAAGCTAAATCAAGGAGCTGCTGTTACCAGATGTATTGATGTCCTCCAGCTGTGTCGATTTCAGAAGGAGATTGGATAAATTCAGGGAGGAGGATGGGATCTCATCAACTCCTAGTCTTTCTGGCTGTTTATCACCTCCTGAGTCAAGATTGTTGGACGAGCAGGCACAGAAACAACCAGGGAAGTGATTAAAACCTGGGAAACAGCCCCCTCCTCAGTCAACAAGAGTGCTGATTTACCACCACTTGCTCAAATACTTGGGAGGCAAGGGCTTGGCAGCACAAACTTCAGCTAACGACTTAATAGCCAGCCATAAATACCCCAATCAACATCTAACAAGCCACATACAATATGCACCATATAAATACCACAAACAGAACAACCCAAAGCCCACCCTCTGCTAGAGAGAAGTTCCCTGAAGATGGGCTCCAGCACAAGTCCAAAAGCTCAGGAGGCAAAACCTCTATTCCCACTGACTGACCCAAATTAGTTCCCTCAACATTCTCCTGGAACACATAGATTCACCTTCATTTGTATATCAATAAATTACAGTAGCATCCTTAACTGTCCAACAGCTTGCCACCCTCTTCTTGCTACTGAATTGCCTAAAGACTCTTGGGTTGACCTCTGTGGGACATAGAATGGTGGCCTGGATGGACTCCACTCTGTCCTTCCATCTTTCTGTTTTTAGATAATGAAAAAGAAATCTAGAGGTCCCTGAGGAACAGTTTTTCCTTTCGTTGGCCTTTTGGTAAATTGCAGAAACATAAAAAGCCACACATGAGGAGAACTTCATGAGAACCTGAACAAGTCAATCCCCCACCTGTAATACCTTGACTGACACTGGTTTAGCTGCTTTTAAAAAAAGGAACCTGTGGTTAGCATCTCGTTATTAAATGCTATGGACCAGCCAGACGTGTCCCCTCTATCAATCGGTGGCTCCCCCCTGAAATATCCTAGAGACTGCTTTCGGATGGAGGCTACTTACAGATCAGTCTTTGTATGCTGTCAGGAGAATTGTGAGCTTTTGCTCCTTCTGGGTCAATGATGGTTCTTTCTGAACTATTTATTTATGAGTGGGTTTGGGAGTAGTGTGTAGGTGTGGCAAACAGGCACTACAAGGACAAATATCTACTGAAGCCAGAAGCACATCGAGATCATTTTTTATGTGGAAATGCCACGGCTGAGCAATGATCCAGGCAATGGGAAATAAATGATGCTGGAAAGAGGAAAACATGTACCAGCAGATCCCAAAGAGTTGAGGAAAATCTTCTCTAGAAGAAGATAAGACATAGGAGGAGAGTGATAGTCTATGGTAGGAAAAGGAGGCTGATGTGAGAAAGGGACAAACGTTGTGCAGATAAATTAATGGACAGGAAATTGACATAATATCATGGACAAAGTCAGATCAGAGCATTTTAATCCCCTTCTATGACAGACCCAAAGTGACCATTTTGGAAAAAGGAGATTTTAGAATAAAGAATCCTAGGTCTGGAAGGGACATTGGAGGTCTTCTAGTAGTTCAACCTCTCCCCTCAAATGACGAGACCTTACACCATTCCAGTCAAATGGTTGTGCAATCTATTTTTCAAAACCTCCAGTGATGGAACACCACAACTTTAGAATGAATTGTTCTCACTGTCAGGAAATTTCTCCTTACTTCTAAGTTGAATCTCTATCAACCTTCCATGCACTTCTTCTTGTCCTGCCCTCTTGCTCTGGAGAATAAGTCAATCTCCTCTCCTCTATGATAGCCCTTCAAGTACTGGAAGGCAGTTATCATGCTATCCCCAAGCCTTCTAAAAACAAAAATCATGTAAACATACAGTGGAAGGACTGTAACAGCCACTATGTAGGACAAAGAACACCAACTAGCAGTCCGACATGATGAAATCTCCTCAGTTGCACAACAGACTTCACCAATTGGGAAAGTGAGCGTCCAAGTCAAGTCCAAAAATGTCAGAGAATTCCTGGAAGTTTGGCACTCAATCAAATCAGCCATCAACAGGCACATAGAGATAACCAACACATGCACACCATTCAAAAGAGATAACCAAAAGGCCAAAAAGGAAACCAAAGGACAAAACACCACCTCACCAGCAATCAATAATAAGCAGATAAGCAGACCTTAACCATGATTAATACCAGATCAACAATAAAGCAATAAGGAATACCCCAATCAAGGAATTAACAATACAAACAAGGAAACAGTTAACAATAGCTTAAATCAAAGAACTACCAAGAATGCTCTCACCCACACTACCAAGCAAGCCCCTAGTATATAAACAGAGAGTAAATCTCACTTCCTTCTAGCACTGATGATGTTTCCTAGTTGGGTCATGTCTGCAAGTAAACAACCAAGCTGAGAAAGCACCAAGGAACCCAAGAGACTTTAACATCTCCACTTAGTGATAAATGGCTAAACTCATACAATCTAATGCAGAGATGACAAACTCATGCCCACTCCCAGTTTAGTGAAGGGGAGGAAAATCACGATATGTCACCATGATGATGACGTGAGTTTGACACCCCTGGTTTCAAGACATCCCAGATGGTCTCAACAATCACAATGGATTTTTCAGTTTCTTAACTGATAAAGTGATGATGATGTTACATTCAATCATGTTCAACTATTGGTGAGTCTATGTGCCAGGTCTCTCCACATCTTCCAATCTTGTAATACTTCCTTGAGTTTTTCTATGCTCTGGTTGGTTGTGTCTTAAAAATGCTTTTTCCACAAAAAAGCAACTGGGCTTTCTTGTGTTTTTCCCCCCTTTGAAAATATTTCATTTCTCATCCAACCTAAAAGTAAGGAGAGATTTCCTGGCAGTGAGAAAGATTACTGGAGGTTTTCAAGAAAAGATTGGACAACCATTTGACCAGGTTGGTATAAAGACTCTGCCTTGCTCAGGAGGCTTCGACTCGGACCTTCAAGGTCCCTTCCAACTCTGGGCTGGGACAATCACATTTCCACCAGACTTCTTTAAAAAGGGCTACAAAGAGAAAGGACCTGTTCCTTGCTAAATCTTGGGCATTTTCCAAATCATCTTTATTATACCACATCAGCCTTCGAACCTGTGTTGTGTCAAGCATTGGGATGGGGACTCCCAGCATTCCTAGCTGAAGGAGAAGAGGATTGGAATTATGGGGGCTGCAGTCCCAATGCACATCACGAGCATTTGGTTAGGGCATACTGTCCCAGATCACAGCAATGTCTTCTGTTCCGGACATTGCTGATCAATTGACCAAGAATATCAGTCAATATATCTATGACTTGTCTTTCTTGTTCAGTAGTTTTATTTCAGGAGGAAATATCTCCATGATTCAGCCGGCAGAAGGAAGCCTCCAATCTTTTGTACTGTGATAAGGATTTCCTGAAGTAATTAGTTTCATCAGAATGAACTTCATGTCTTCAGCATCTTTACTGCTCAAATGCTTTCGTTTCACTTTGGAAGGGCACTTTTGATCACTGGTTGTCGAGCTGCTTCTTTAATAGAATAACAGAGTTGAGAGGGACCTTGGAGGGCTTCTAGCCCAACCCCCTGCTGAAGCAGCAGACACTGTGCCATTTCAGACAAACGGTTGTCCCATCTGTTCTTGAAAACCTCCAGTGATGGAGCACCCACAACTTCTGGAGACCAGTCGTTCCGCTGGTTAATTGTTATCACTATCAGGAAATTTGTTAAGTGAGTTTTGCCCCATTTAGGACCTTTCTTCCCATAGTTCTTAAGTGAATCACTGCAATTGTTAATAACATGGTTGTTAAGTGAATCTGGTGTCTCCATTGACTTTGCTCATGAGAAGGTTGCAAAAGGGGATCACGTAACCCCAGGACACTGCAACCATTGTAAATGTGAGCCAGTTGCCAAGCATGTGAATTTTGATCCAGTGACCACGGGAATGCTGCTGTGGTTGTTAAATGTGAAAAACGGCCCTCTATCACTATTTTCAGTGCTGTCGTAACTTTGAATTGTCATTAAATGAAGAGTTGTAAGTTGAGGACTACCTGTGGTACATTTTTTTTAAAGGATTTGGCAAGCTGCTCTAATATCTCAGGTGTCTTAGAAGCCCAAAATGTTGCTGATCCAAAACAGTCTTGTTAACAAAGGTTGTAGAGGTAATGATAGGTCATTTAAAGACTTCAAAACAATGACCGACACCTCAACACTCATTTCAAAGTTATGACAGATTTGTCCTAAATTCAGATAGGGGGGTACTGCAGCATACACCCCCCCTGCCTTTCCCCCGAATCCCCTGGAGGACTTCATCTTGCTCCCCATCCCTTTTGGCAGCATCTGCCCTTTTCAGCACCCTGAAAATTGTAAAGCTGATGGTAAAAAATTCAATTTTGTAACAGAATTGTCTGGAATATCTTATCTGATTCAGTTGTCTCAGAAACTAACTTTCACAATTTTAATTGTAACTTAACTTCTCTGGACCTCACTCCATAATTTAAGAGATCCCTAAGGGGGGAGTCCGTAATTGCACTGCTGTGCCTAAATCACAACTTGATTTTGAATTGTGGGCTTCCAGTGTTTAATATTTGGCAATCAGTAAGCACACTGATAAAAGCTTTAGATCAGAAAACTGGGTCCTCTCTCATTAATTGGTAATTGCATTTTTGGTAAAGATATTTTCAGAATCAAAGAACCCTTAAAAAATTTCTAAACAAAGAATTTTCTGAAGATAATTTCCAGTACTGAAGGATTTATCTCAGAATATAACCTAACCTAGGAATAATATTCATTCTGGAATGAAAAGGTGAGGCTTAATGTCTCCCATCTATCAATATCTGAAGAATAACAGAATATAAGATAGTTGGAAGGGATCTTGGAGATCTTCTAGTCCAGAGGTCTCCAACCATGGCAACTTTAAGCCTGGAGGACTTCAACTCCCAGAAAGTTGCCAAGGTTGGAGACCAGTGGTGAGTTGCCCCCGGTTTGGACCAGTTCGCAAGAACTGGTAGTAAAACCAGCGGGAGGCTCTGCCCACTGACCTGGACGTCATAGGCAGAAGCTGAAATGCAGGCAGGATGTGAACCAGCAGTAAAGGTAAGTAGAACCCACCCCAGTTGGAGACTCTGTTATAGTCCAACCCCTGCTTGAGCAGGAAACCCTATACCAGTTCAGACAAATGGTTGTCCAATCTCTTCTTAAAAACAATCAGTGATGGACAACATCTGTTCCATTGATTAATTGTTTTCACTGTCAGGAAATTTCTCCTTAATTCTCCTAAATTGAACATAGAACCATAAAATTGGAGGGGGCCTTGGGCATTGTCTAATGGTCCAACCCCTGCTCAAGCAGGAGACCCTATACCAGTGGTGGCGAACCTTTTACTTACTGAGTGCTGAACAGGAACACACTTTGTGTGTTGCGCGCGCACGCATGCCATCCACAGTAACGCACTGCTCCCCATGTGCTGCGCGTGCAACTGCACCATCTGCGCATGCGCACAGCTTTCATGCGCACCCCCACCATGGGCTATGCACGTAACTGCACCATCTGCATATGCGAGCAGCTTTTGTGCATGCGCACTAGTGCGTGCTGTGCGCAATCTCACCATATGTGCATGCACACAGCTTTTGCGCATGCAATGCACGCATGCAAATGCTGTCTGCACATGCATGCATTGCGCACCAGTCATCCCGTGCACATGCTCAGGAGAGCTCCGAAGACCAGCTGGGTCCCCTGAATTGAGCGCATGCGCCCTAGAGGCCTAAACACTAGTTGGGGCGTGCGCATGCGCAGTTTCAGGTGAGCTTGGCGACAGCTTGTATGCCCGGAAAAATGGCTCTGCGTGCCACTTCCGGCACGCGTGCCATAGATTTGCCAACACGGCCCTATACCATTCCGGACAAGTGGCTGTGTAGTCTCTTCTTGAAAAGTTCTAGTGATGGAGCACCCAGAACAGCCTCCATGGGAGATATGACTCCACAGCTGTGCAGATCTTATCTTCAGGAAGTATTCTTTTACAGTTAAGTGAAATCTCTGAAGCTGGAAACTGTACCCATTATTTCTGATTCACTAATTTGGGGTCATCTCACAAACAACACCGTTTATGT